TCGCCCACGCCGAACCCGCGGAGGGAGGCGGAAGGAGAGATGGCGAGGGACAAGCTAAGCGCGTTCGCGCCACATCTGACGCCCGACCACTCCCCCCTTCCCACTGAGCCACGTTTTGTCCTCGTCAACGGGCCGATTGTCCAATCGGACCGGAATGCGCCGATGGCATCTGCACCGCTTGCCTCGCCGCCCCGTGTCCGAAGGGTAAACGGGCCAGACTGGACCAGGACGCACATAGGTAGGGCGGGCAGGGCTGGGCGGCCGGGTTTGCGACTCCCCGCGCGGCCACTGGGCGACCAATGGGGCTCGCCGCGGGCGCCCCGAAGGCACCTCCCAGATCGCTGGGGCGCCTCGGCGCACCTTGCTCCACGCACCCATCCCATGACAAAGCGCCCAAAGCATCAGACGCCAAGAAGATGCTAAATATCCTCCTCCTCCTCCGCCTCCTCCTCCTCCTCCCAAGCCCCTCCTCCCAAGCCCATCCTGCCCCTTCTGCTCGCCCGTCCCCCTCCTCCACTTCCTGTCCCCCCTCCTCTCCTCCTCATTGGTACTCTCCCTTTCCCTTCAAATCCCCCCCGCTCCTCCTCATGCAGCGCACCTCCTTCCTCCCTGCCCGCCCTGTCGAGCCCCTCTCCTCCCCACCCGCCTTCTTCCCTCCCCCATGCTCCCTCTCCCTCCCCCCCCCCTCTCCCCGTTCCTTCTCCCCGCGCCTCCTCCCTCCGTTCCTCCACCCCACGATGGGGAAACCACAAGGTGCCGATACCGCTACTCCCCAGACCTCGCCCAGGAGGCGTTCTGACTAAGATGTTTGAGCGGATCCAGCCAGCCGTGGCGACGAGGGCCTCCCAGGAAGCCAAAGAAGGCGCCAGCGAAGGGTGGAGGTACCGATGCGTGTGCCTTCTCCAGTCCTCCCTCCATGCCTCCATCCCCCCCCCAACGCTCCGCCCTGCAGTCTCCGACGGAAGCGAGGCCCTGGCAGTGAGCGGGGGGGCCCACCGCGCGCGTCCTGGGAGCGCTCCAGGGTGACCTCGGGGCGCGCCGGGAGGCGGGGAGGATGGAGGGAGGAAGAGGGGGAGGAGGACGAGGAGGAGGAGGGCAAGCTAGGTGCGCTCGCGTCATATCTGACATCCTACCCCTCCCTCCCATCCCTTACCATGGCGTAGATCCCCTCTCTACTCGCACTGTCGGATGTCGAGCAGGGCAATGATCCCGAAAGGGTACGCGATGCATTGTAGAGCACAGCATGACATGGCGTAGAAGAGCACCACAAAGCGCAGTATGTCACAGCATGGCGTGGCGTGGCGTAGTGAAGAATTGCATCACAAAGCTTTGACACGCCAAGCATGGCATCGCACAGCGGCCCCGAACATAACATTGCATAGCATGGCGTTGAAGATCAAAGCGTAGCATGGCATAGCATGACGTGGCACTTAAGCACTGGATATGACAGCTGCAGCTGAAGGCACGGCATCGCGCAGCGGAACGCAACCTAGCATTGCATTGCATGCCGTGGCATGGCACGGGAAATGACGCCAACGCTGCAGCGGGGGCACGATTCGGAACGAGCGGAAGCGCGGAAATGAGGCCAACGCTGCAGCGGGAGCCCGATTCGGAACGAGCGGAAGCACGGAAATGACGCCAGCGCTGAAGCGGGAGCACGATTCGGAACGAGCGGAAGCCCGAAACTGAAGCCCGCGCCTCAACGAGAACATCATTTTGAAAACAAGCCAAGCGAAAATCCAACTCTGGGAAATCCTGTGTAAAAAACAGTACGCGCAGGGGTGCCCGCTATCTTCCGCACCCATCAGGGGATGGAGGAGAGTAGTATTCATATTGTGTAATTGAACAGGAGAAGGAGGGAGAAGAGGGGAGAAAGAGGGAGGAAGAGGGGAGGAGGAGGAGGAGGAGGAGGAGGAGGAGGAGGAGGAGGAGGAGGAGAAGAAGGAGAAGGAGGAGGAGGAGGAGGAAGAGGATGAGGAAGAGGAGGATGAGGAAGGAGGAAGAAGAAGGAAGAGGGATGAAGAGATGGAGGGACGGGAGGAGGGGAGGAGGAGGAGGAGGAGGAGGAGGAGGAGGAGGAGGAGGAGGAGGAGGAGGAGGAGAGGAGGACGAGGGAGGAGGAGGAGGAGGAGGAGGTGGAGGGGGAGAACGGGGAGGAGGAGGGGTGGGCGAGGAAGGGGAGGGGGGTGGAAGAAGAAGGGGAGGAGGAGGAGGAGGAGGAGGAGGAGGAGGGGAGGAGGAGGAGGAGGAGGAGGAGGAGGAGGAGGAGGAGGAGGAGGAGGAGCGAGGAGGAGGGCGGAGGAGGAGGAGGGGGAATGGGGAGCAGACGACGATGCCGCGGCACGCCCACAGGCGGCGCGGCGCCATCTCAGGGCCTCCGGGGGGGCCTCCCCTGGCCGACGTCGGGACGGTTCAGAGAGAGACCATGCTGCCCTCGGGCGGCGCCGCCCCTCCGACTCTGATAGAGGCCTCCTCCTCCTCCGCCTCCTCCGCCTTCCCCTCCTCAGATCTTGGGCCTCCTAAGATGGGGTCGGAGTAGATGGGGTCGGAGGACCGCGCCGCATCGGCGATGCATCGGAGATTCATCGGGCATGCACTGGCGATTCAACGCCGACGTCGGCGATGCATCGGAGACGTCTACGCGAGGTAATTCGGGCTCCACATCGAGCCGCATCGGCGATGCATCGGCGATGCGGCGCGATCCTCCGACCCCGTGTACTCCGACCCCACTTAGGAGGCCCAAGATCTGAGGAGGGGAAGGAGGCGGGAGCGTTTCGAGACAGGCAGGGCACGCCCCAGCAGGACGAAGGGGGAAGGACCTCGAGAAGGAAGAGCTACCAACACCGCCACCCTTGCCCCGTTTTCCCTTTTGGGGGGCCTCCTGGGAGGCCTTCGTCGCCACCGCTGGAGTCGCCTCGAAATCCTTGTCAGAACGCACCTCTGGAGAGGTCCGGGGAGCATCGGTACCTATTTGTCTCCCCAGCTTCCAGAGTGGGAGGAAGGTCGGGGGATGAGGGCTTGAGGCGGGGAGGGGGGTTAAGCTCGAGGCCTGATGGGAAGACTGAAGGTGAGGGGGGAAGAGGAGCGGCCAATGGAGAAGTAGGGAGAGCGGGGGAGAAGTACGAAGGAGACACGGAAGCGAGGGCAAGGGGATGGACGAGGCGGAGGGCTCGAGCGGGGTGTTCGGGCAGGCTGCTGGTCCCCTCCTGTGTTCTCCATCTCACTATCGCCTCCTCAGCCTGAAGGTCTTCCCCTCCTCCCCCATCATCCACTTTCTAACCCATGGAATCGGATGCCCCCCCTTGAAAACTTGGCGGCGCGCTCGTTGACGAACACACGGCCAACAATCACCGCGCGCCCTGGTTGGCGTCTGTACGGGCATGCGTTGCACGCGGAAGCGGACCGAGAATTGATGATCTCCCAGTGTTTGCCCCAAACACCTGTTTGGCGGCGCGCCCAGGGGGGAAGGCAGAGGCGTCAGGATCTCTCGGAAGGCTCACTGCCCAAGCCTTCTCCGAACTCGTAGAGGGCGTCTCAGGAGATCGGAGGGCTTCTGAGAAGCCCCGCCGCCTTCCGGGCAGGCTGCCACCCTCTGCCGCCCCCCCCCCCCGGGGGGCATCCACAGGGGGCGGGCTCGAGGGAGAATCTGGGAAACGTTCGCCGACTGGGTCACCTGGGGTGAACCCGGGCCGCGGAACCCATTATATTAATGCTCGTGGTTCGCTCGTTCGTGGTTCGTCATCCCACCCTTGGCCATCCCGTTCGCCGCCCCCTTGGGCCGCGGAGCCCTTTATCTCCGTTCGTGGTTCGTTCGTTCGATCGTGGTTCGTCTCTAGCCTCCCTGGACTCCCCCTCTGGGCCGCAGCTCGCTGGTGCAAGAGCTGGGGCGCAGGTGCCATGTGTTCTCGTCCGCAAAAGAATATCCTCCCGCCCCAACCGCCCCATGCCTGTCAAAGGCCGCCCGCCCAGAACGCCCATGAAGGTCTGCCCGCCGGACCCGCAAGTTACAGCCGGTCTGCAGAACATTAACAGCATAACGAAACCCATTGTTTTCCAACTCGAGCCGTGAAATCCGAAGGCACAGCCGTAAAATCCGCCGACCCCGCCGGCGTGTGTGAGAGGTTTCCCCGTTCGAGTCGGGCTTCACCGTTCGAGTCGTCGTCTCCGTCGTCCTCTGCTCCATTTCTCTGGGCCCTCCTCCTCGAGCGCCATCCAGAGCGAATCGAGCAACGTCGGAGTGGAGTCGAAGGGAAGCCCCTTCCCTTTGATCCTTTCCCCGCGGGGGGGGGGTCCCGGGGGGGGGGTCGCCACACAGATATGATTTCCCCCCGCGCGGTCCTGGAAGCCCGAAGAGGTCCCCACGGGTTCTCCGTGGGGCCCCCGAGAGGCCGCCGGCACCTCAGGAGTCTCCAACAGGGTGCCCCTGACGGGGGAACCGAACGGACATTTCGAGCCCTCGGCCCCAAGAGGATCCCAGAAGACCCCAAGAGGTCCCCAGGCAGCCCCAAGAGGCTCCAAGAGGCCGCCCAGGCCCCCAAGATGCTCTCAAGAGGCCCCAAGACTGCCCCGAGAGGCCTCCGACACCGCTCCGAAGAGACCCCAAACAGCATTTCGGAGGACTCTGACCCACGTCAGCGTCGTCGTCGTCGTCGCCGCCGCCGCCGTCGTCGTCGCTGTCGTCGCCGTCGTCGTTGTGGCCCTTCAGGGTCGGCGGCACTGGCCGCAAGGCCTTCGCAATCCGAGGAGGCAGCGAAGGGGCTGGCCACCAAAGAAGCAACGAAGGGCATGCAAACCTGAGGAACCACCAAGCCCACTCCGACCTCAAACGGGGCCTCACTCCAAAGAGCTGACTGTAGGGTCCGCCCGCTGATTGCGTGCACACCCGCCCGTCCGCCTACATGTCCTCACTCCCTTTCGACTCTCATCAGCTCTCCTCGACCCCCATTCCCCCTCCTCGACTCTTCTCGGACTTCCTCAATCACCCTCCCTCCTCCTCGATCCTCCCCAATCCCTCCTTCTGGATCCTCTTCGACTGCCCCCTTCTCGCCAGAACTCCGACGTCGTGATTTTATCACATCGTGGACACCCAAAGGTCTACACCCTTTCCGCAAGAGCGGTTTTCCCGCTCCGAATCGTTTTCTGACGGTCACGTGGCCCGGAAGCCAAAAAAATGCGAAAAACGCCCGTCGTGCTTTTTATTCACAAAGAAGCGAGGTGGGGGATCCTCCTCCCGTCCCTCCTCCCCCCCCGAGCCCCCTCCCTCCTCCTCCTCCTCTTCCTCCTCCTCCTCCTCCTCCTCCTCCTCCTCCTCTTCCTCCTCCTCCTCCTCCTCCTCCTCGTCCCTCCTCCTCCTCCTCGATCCGCCTCTATTTCCCTCCGCTATATCCTTCCTCGACCTCCCCTGGGAGGAACACAGACATACCTATATCGCTACTCACTGCAAAGAACTTCCCAAACGTGCGCAAAACATCGAGGATCGTCCAGCCGTGACGGCCAGAAGCCTCCGGAACGAGCAGCGGCATTGGCAGATGCTCCATCTCTGACGCCCCCTCGATCCTGTTCGACGATGAGATGTTCTCTTTGGACGCCGGAAATGGGTACGGAAAAAATGGGTACAATGCCCGACAAATAATGTCGTCCCAAACCAACAGCGGCAGCTGTTGGGCAGGCGGCCTTCTGTCTCGAATGGACACAGGCCGCGGCAGCGTGGACAGAGAACCCTGTTCGAAATGAACAGGAATTGCTGTTGGGCGTTGTACCCATTCTTTTTCGTACCCATTTCGGGCGTCCAGATTCTCAGTGCGCGGTTCGGGAGGTCCCGACTCGGTGAGTCCCGACCCCTTCCCTGGGGGCAAGGCGTCGCCCCGATGCGACCTCTGGCCCCGGGGCACGGACCGAGCCACCGAAAAGGCCGACACCGGGGGGGAGAAAACGCCCGGATTGAACAAACACATGCCGTCGTCCTACGGTTCTTTCCTCCCGGGGGAGGAGGAGGAGGAGGAGGAGGAGGAGGAGGAGGAGGAGGAGGAGGAGGAGGAGGAGGGAACCGCAGGAGGGAAGGGCCAATTGGACGTCGGAGGAGGAGGGGACCGTAGGAGGGAAATCACCTGGGGGTCCTCGACTTGAGGAGACAGAAAAAACGAATAACCTAGTGCCGCCGAGATTAATGCCACAGGGATAATAAAGTTCGGGGTTGCGGGGGGAGTATACATGTTGCCTACCGGAGGCCAGCATGTGGGAGGAAAAAGAGATGATGTTAAAAGGACCGAAAGCCGAGGATCGAGGATCGAGGATCGAAGTCCGAGGATCGAGGATCGAGATCCCAGTCGAGGATCGAGGTCCGAGGATCGACGGCGGCGAGGTCCGAGGATCGAGGATAGAGGTCCGAGGACCGAAGATGGGATCGAGGATAGAGGTCCGAGGGTCCGAGGTCTTGATGTTGCTATCTCAACATGAGAAGGAAGTTGACCTCGATGGTGAACGTTTCACAATGATGAAAAAGTTCGGCCTCCGCGCCCCGCGCCCCTGACCAAACTCTTATTGACCGTGGATAATCAACTCTAGCGTGGAAAGGGGGGGGGGTCCTGATTTATCAGCGGCAGGCGGTGAAAGACAAACATTCGGAGGTCGACGCTGATTTCTTGGTCTGCGCTGGGCCCCCCTCCCAGGCGCGCGGAGCGCGCCAAGGGCGGCGCCAGAGGCGCCGCCAGGCGGGCTTCAGCGCCAATCTCAGAGATCCGTGTGGAGCTCCGAAATTTTCGGGGATAGACAGAACCCCCTGTAGTAAAACGTGGTTGAATGAAAACAACCTCGGGCCCAAGCCTGGCGGGCACAAGCCTGGGAAATGACGGCCGCGGCGTCCTCTCGAGAACCGAACACGGACAATTAACTCATCGACTTGTCCGGGTGGGGATTCTTTTCTGCTCACCCGAAATGTCATTGTGATGTTGGTATGGCTGGATTTAGTTTAGCGGAGGGACGCCCCCCGCCCCATTCCACGAACCCGAACTGCCGCCAAACGAAGGAACACCAGCTACGGCAGACCTGGTCAAGCGATTCTGGCTCATATTTGGGGGGCTTCGCGAGGCCCCATCACCAACTGGCTCCACTTGTCTGTCCGATTTATGGTTATGCTGTTCCCCCGAGACCGAGAGGTATGCATGCTAGTACCCCCCCCCCGACCTCTGCGAGAACGGCCCTGGACGGGCCGAAGGGTCTGGATGCAAAGGTTACCCTTGGAAAGAGAATCATTCTCAGCCTGCGGGTCGACTGCAGCGGTGCCGATACCCCCTTGCCTCCTCTGAAAGAACCCTGCCTCTTCGTCCTGCCGGGGCGGGCCCTGCGTGCCTCGCAACGCTCCCGTCTCCTTCCCCTCCTCAGAGCCAGAGTTAGGTCGGGCATGTCACCCTACAGGCAGATTTCACAGGAAACATCAAAAAACTCTAAGAATCGTCCCCAGACTATGCTAAAACCATATTTGAAGATTCCTCCTGTAGAGGGGCATGCCCGACTTAGGGCCAGAGGGACGGCGCCGTCCGCGGGTGGGCTCTGATTTGTGGTCGGGTGGCCGCCCCCCCCGCGCGCCTCGAAACTCAGCGGCGCAGGGCCGCGGCCGCCAGCGGGCGGGGCCTCTGGCGCCGGGCCAGCGTGCCAGCGCAGCAGCATGAGTCTCGGCGGCGGCCGCTGGGCCGACCAACCGGCGGATAACGTTCCCGTCTCTTCCTGACATGCATGAGTAGGGGCCAACCGTCCCGGCACTCCCATAGGCCTACCACGAAATGCTCTCAGAACAAGCGAATGTTCCACAACGAGAACACTGTTCTCGTATCACGAAGACGGTGGATTCAAACAAGACGGCCTCAGCCAGCACTGTTCTACGCACGTCTCGAGCCAACCACAAAAAGGTTCTCAGAACCTTCCTCGGTGGAGGCATAGGCCAGCCGTGACGCCTCGCCACTGATCAAGAGAGGGCATCCTGCTCTATGGCGTTGGAGAGGAACTGGTGAGCAACACCAGCCTCCGCGAAACACGCTGTCCCTGTGATTGAGGCGAGGCTCCCGCTCTGCACGCGCTATCCCTCTGCCCGTGCTTCCCCGGTGTGCGCTGTGCCCCACAATGGAGCACGGCGTTTCACAAGCGGGCCGGCGGCCCGCACCGCACCGCTGCCTCTCCAACGCCCACCCGTAGACCCCCGGAGATCTAGGCGTTGTAGTGCCTCCGTACCCGGCGTTCTCGCCCGGCTTCCAGCCCCGGGACCTTCACACATCGACCAGGCTCGAGGAGGGCCGCAGAAAGATCCGCGGGCCCCCACTGTGGGGCCACCAGGCTGTAGCACGAAATTGCTGCTGCCTGCGCCAGTTGCAGTTTCAAGTCTCCAGTGTTACAGTCCTGCTGTCTGCTTCCTGCTGTAAATTGTTGAAGTCCGCGCGAGGGGGGGAGCCCCAACCCGCCTGGTTATCACGCCCGGATCGCGTTCTCTGAACTCGCGGGGGGCGTGGGACACTGAAAAACGCATGAGATTCGCGCCCCCGAGGACATAGTCCTCAGTGAATTACGCAGCAGTCGTGTCCCCGAAGCCACAAGCCCTCGTAAATTAAACAATGTTTGCGTTCCCGAGGCAACACACCCTCTTTGATTACGCAATATTCGCGTCCCCGAAACCATAAGTCGTTGTAACTTACGCCATGTTCGAATTGCCGAGGCCCAGAGTGCTCCAAGGAGCCCGAAGATGGTTCCAAGACAACCCAAGAGGGCCCAAAAAGACCCCAAGAACGCTCCAAGAGGCCTCCCCGGAGAACTTCAAGAGGCCAATATCGTAGATGTTACGGAGGTTTATGGAGGATGTTGGCCTTCTCGCATTTTCGGCGTTCTGACGCTCAGAAGACGGCTCAAGAAGCTCTCAAGACCGCCCCAAGACAGCCCAAGACGCCTCCAAGAGGGCCCCAAGATTGCCCAAGAGGGCTCCAAGATGGCCCAAGAAGCGCACAAGACGGTCCGAGAGGGCCCCAAGACGGCCACCAGAGGGGCCCAAGCAGGGGACCACGAACTGAACATTCGATATGTGCCCAGAGAACTCCCCAGGAGGCCCCAAGAGGCCGCGAAGAAACCCCAAAAGGCCCGAAGAGGCGCCAAAGACGCGCCCAAGAGGCCTCCAAGAGGCCAAAGAGATATCCCACGAGGCCCCAACAGGCTCCCAAAAGGCGCCCAAACCGCCTCCAAAAGGCTCCCGAGAGGCTCCGCACGACACCTCAACACATACAAGATGCCTCAGACCCACAACCCAGGCACGGTGGCGGGATGGGCCGAAGGTCACTAGAACAACGCCAACGTCTCACCATGCGCTGATGATGCCTATCTGCCCAGATGCGCCAAGCCAGCGTCGAGATGCACCGACGCGACTCTGACATGTCCAAATATGATAAAGAGGGTGCTGGCGGCAGGGGGCGAAGCCCTGACGGATATGGTCCCTGACGTTGTGGTAGTGATTTCTCGTGGTGCTTCAATTCTTTATGGTTGTGTCGGGCATGTCCTCCTACAGGCGGATTGTGGAAAACAAATGGAGAATAGTTACAGCATGCCCGACAATAGTCAGAAATACTGGAAAAAGTCGTCCCCGTAATATTTTGATGGCTACACTGTTGAATCTTCCTCCTGTAGAAACTAGCCAGAAGTAGTAGAAGCATCGTCCCCATACTATTTTTGACTTTATGTTTGGAAATCCCTCCTGCAGAGGGCAAGTCCCGACTTGCCTTCAGGGCCACCCTGCCGGACCGTGGGCTGGCCTGGGCTGGCCGGCCAGCGGATCGGGGTTGCCCATCGGCGGACCCCTCGGCGACGCAGCCAGACCCCCGACGTCGTGATTTGTCCGCAACGTCGACCCCCCCGGGTCTCGGCCCATTCGTCGCCGTCGACGTTCCGGAAAATCATTGAGGCCCATTCGTCGACGCTCCAGAAAATTTCTCAACCCCCAGAGGTCTCGGGCCTTTCGTAGATCGACAACGCTGTCCAGAACGTCGACACCCAGAGGTCTCGGCCCATTTGCCAGGACCAGCTTTGAATCCCGAGTAATTTTGGGAGTGCCCCGGGGCCCAGCGAGGGCCCCCCGGGGCCGCAAATTGCCAAACAGAAACTTCCCGCCGTGATTTTCGGATGGCCCGAGGGGGTCGGGGGGAGAAGGAGGAGGAGGAGGAGGAGGAGGAGGAGGAGGAAGGGGAGGAGGAGGAGGAGGAGGGAGGAGAGGAGAGGAGGAGGAGGAGGAGGAGGAGGAGGAGGAGGGAGGAGAGGAGAGGAGGAGGGAGAGAGGAGGAGGAGGGAGGAGGAAGGAGGAGGAGGAGGAGGAGAGGAGAGGAGAGGGAGGAGTGGAGGAGGGAGGCGGGAGGAGGGTCCCGAGCGAGCGAGCGTCCCGCGCCCCTGGAGGCTCTCTCGCCTCGGAGTGACCTTGGGGGTCGTCGGGAGAGTACCCTGTGCAGAGGTGGCCAGCGGTCCGAACACTTCGGTCGCTCCCAGAAGTAGGTGTGCCATGGCGCTGGCGACCGCACGCGGTGTACTGGGTAGACTGAGAAGACTGGGTCGCGGCAGAGCCTGGACTGGGTCGTCGACCGATGGGTATTGGTGAGGGCGTCTTACGTCAGTCACCAGCAGCATGACTCGCACGTCCTTTCGCACCCCTCCCGTACCAGGGGGCATCTGGGACTTTCTGGGGGAACGCTTTCGTGACACGCTCTGTTTTCTTGTTAATAGTCCTAGTCGTATGCGCCTTTTTTGCTCCTGAACTGTCTCACGTGTTCGATTGCTGCACAGCGGAGAGTCATGTGTCCATGATGCTCTTTATTCCTTCGAGCGATAACCTGCCGCTCCGCCGTCTTTTGAAACAACCGCGCCTTTCCTCCCACCTGAGAGGCGGGGACTTAACCATATCCGCCGCCTGGGAACCGACGTCATGGTACTCCAGCGGGCGGTGGATATGGAGGTACGTGCTGGCCCCCAGGGGCCCGAACATCTCCACCTCCACCACCTGTGCAGGTCCACGAAGATCGATCCTCCGGGCGGTGGATATGGGTACGACGAGCCGACCCCAGCGTGGGTTCCTGACACCGCGGGGACCGTTCGACCTCGAACGATCGGCCCTTTCCCCAGCGTCCGATCCTTCAACATCGAGCGACTCTGGGGCGTTCAACGTTGAACGCCGGCGGCGGGGTCGCCGCCAATCGACATGACGCGAACCTGCCGTACATTTAAGTCGGGCTTGTCCCCCCTCAGGGGGACTCTGGACGAACAATTAAAAATACCCCCCAAATACCCCCAAGTGATCCCAAAATACTAAGAACAAATTGTCCCCAGACTATTTTTTTACAATTGTTAAAAATATTCCCCCTGTAGAGGGACAGGCCAAGGCCCGACTTAACCGTAAATCCCCGCCTCGGACCACCTCCTCTCTGTGCGGCCACGGCCGAAGCTCTCTTGACAACGCTCGGCCATCCAGGGGCCCTCGCCGGGCCCCGGGGGGACCGTCCAAGGAGCCCCCTTGGGGCGCGAGCACGGCCCACGGGTCAGAGGGGGTCCCTGGACTCCGGGCCTCCGGGGGCCCACGGCGGAGGTCTGAGCTTTGAGAACGAGGTCGGGCTATCTGTCGGGCGAGTGCTACGACCCCCCCCCCCACGTGGCCGTTGGGTGGCTACGCTGGGGGGCACCGACGTGTCGAGGTTGAGCTGCTCGGGGTCACCGAGGTCCGGGCTACGTTAGGTGGGCAGTCCACGTGAGGGGGGGGGGCTTCAATGGGGTGTGACCCAAGTGGGGGGTTGGAGAGCAGGATCCCAAACGGGGCCCTCTATAGGGCCCGTCCTGGCGCCTGCCGGCTCCCCAAGAAGCCCCTCAGAGTGTCCCTGCGGGCCCTTCTCTCCACCCCCCATTCCGGTCCCCCCCCCATTATGCCACCCGCCCGGCTCTGGCGCTACGACTTGTCGATCCCCGGCGTCTTCACTGGATCTCGGCAACACGCGCGGCACCGCCCGTGCACCGGCACCGTGGCATCGCAGACGGCGTCACCTAGATGTTCGACGGTGCGGACACGAGGGTCGAGGAGGAGGGTCGAGCAGGATCGGGCGGGTCGAGGAAGAGGAGCCTCGAGGAGGGAGGATCGAAGATGATAACATGAGACAAACTGCGCAAGCCTGAACTCAGTGCGAGCCACAGCTGGACCGATTCTCTTTGATGCGTTTCTCGGGCGTCCAGCACTTCCAGAACCTGCGGCACCTTTGGGCGGTCTGGGGGAAAACTTTAGGGCCTTGTAGAGCCTTCGGACCCGTCTGGATCCGTCGGAAGATTCCAAGAAATCCTGATTCCGTAAACTGCGCCAGTGTCCACATACAAATTCTACAAACAAAAACCAGTCGAGGACATATTCTTATGAATCGAGGAAACTTCTGGGACATCTGGCACTCAAATCATGGCTGGAACTCCTGGAACCTCTGAACGGTCTGGGGGTGAACATGGAAGCCTTTGGGACTTCCGGAGCCAGTGGGGAGCTACAGGAAATCAAGCATTCCAGAACATCGAACAGTTCCAGACATCCAACAAGTGCAAATATAAGAAACTCCAAGGCCAATTTCAGATACCTCAAGAGGTCTCTGGATGTCTCCGAAAGTCCCTGAAGTCTCCGAAAGCAAAGAACATTCAGACCCGCCGGCCCCCTTGTAGGGCCACCAGGTTGTAAGCCCAGGGTTTGCTGTTCCCTGCGCCAGTTCCAATTTCCAATTTCCGCTGTTACAATTCTGCTTCTTGCTGCGGCCGCGCGAGGGGGGGGGAGCCGAGAAGGAACCTAGTTGCCATGCCCGAATCGCGTGCTCTGAATTCCTGGGGGGGGCGTGGGACACATGAAAATATATGAAATTCGTGTCCCCGATGTCACAAACCCTCGTACATTACACAATGGTCGCGTCGCCGAGGCCATAGACCCTCGTGAAGTACACCAGATTCGCGTCCCCGAAGCCATACACCCTCGCAAAATACGCAATAGTCGCGTCTCCGAAGCCATACACCTGTGTAAATGATGCAATATATGCGACCCCGAAGCCGTAAACCATCGTACACAATATTCGCGCGCCCGAAGCCAGACACCCTCATAATAAATTACTCAATGCTCGCGTCTCTGAAGCCATAAACCTGCGTAACTTACACTATATCTGCGAGCCCGAGACCATAAACCCTCGTAAATGACTCGCCGTTCGCGCATCCGAAGCCAGAAACTTTTGTGCAATACGCAATGTTCGCGTCTCCCAAGCCATACACCTGCGTAAACGACGCAACATTTGGGACCCCGAAGCCATACACCTTTGTAAATTCAATCAGAATCGCGTGTCCAAGCCATATACCCTCGTAAAGCATAACATATTCGCGTCTCCGAAGCCATACACCTGCGTAAATTACACTATATTTGCGAGCCCGAAGCCATGAACCCTGTAAATGACACGCGATTCGCGTTTCCGACGCCAGAAACCGTCGAAAAACAATACGGAATTCAACAATATCATCAGAATCTCAATTTGTCTTGCCGATTACTCATCGTCTTCGCGTGAAGTCCCGACGCTGCTTCACGGCGGAGCCAAGAACTCATGATTTCACTCTTGCACTGCCCATTATCGGAAAGGGGGGCCGGCGGCAGGGGACGAAACCCTTACGGATAACCAAACCTTCTATGCTATTCTCGAGTGAAAAGACACCCGTACGGAACGCTTATTCAAGCTGGGGTCGAGCTTCCAGGTCGCCTGGGTGTGACTGGACCGCTGGAGCGGGAGGTGGAGAGGGTGAGGGAAAGAAAGGGAGAGGGCCAGGGATGGAGAGAAAACAAAGGAAGGATGAAGAAGACCAAAGGTTCGTCCTGAATTGTTGTTGGCGGCCCAGGGGCCCGTGCGGGTCCCAAAGGCACCGGAAACTGCGAGAGACATCAGGACCCGTTCCTCGGGGATCTTCTGACCCCGGTCAATGCAGACCCGGGTCAACAGTAAACCAAAAAACTGCAATGCAGGAGAAAAAAAACTGCAACGCAGGTCTTCGCAAACCCGAGTCAACCAACATGCGCGGCCGCCTCGCGGCCTCGAGCGGCTCGCTAAAACCCGGGCCAGCCAGCAGGGGTCTTTGCAGGATCCTGCAGGATCCGGTGTCCTGGCCGACCCCCGTTTGCATTGACCCCCGTCTCAAGGCCCCCGACTGGACCTGGACCCCGTTTCCCCGGGACCGCCATGGTATCCCGAGCCGATACCTGACAGGCCCTGGGGCCCGGCCAGGGCGGGCCCCCGGAGGCCACGAGCTCGCCGGAGACCGCCCGTCGAGGCACCCCTGGAACTCTCGGCGAGGCGCAGCTGCCGGGCAGCAGCCTGAGGCCAGGAAGCCGCGGAGAAGGATTGACCCCCCCTAGGAGGAGGAGTTGCCAGCCTGGAGCATCTCCCTATCCCTATGCTGCGCATCGCCCCATCACCCATCACGATGCCAATCTCAGGGATTCCCTCAGTTTTTGAGGGCGCATCCCTAAGATTGCCATCGCCTTTCGGCGTGTCAATCTTAGGGATAGGGATAAGTTCGAGGCTGGTAAGGAGGAGGAGCAGGAAGAGGAGGGGGAGGGGGAGGGCGAGAGGGGAGGGGACGGGGGGGGGAAAGAAGGGGATGGGAGAACTGGGCCCGCAGGCCCCAAACCAGCAACTCCCCTTGTCCGACCTCCCCACGACTCCGACGACGTCAATGCTTGCTGGACCCACCGAGATCTGGACCCCTCCCCCCGCGGGTCCCGGCGAGAACCACGGCAGGCCGAAGGCTGCCCAAACACGTGTGGTCGCGATTCTCTCCCGCCGTGTGGCGGGGGAAGGGCGGCGCTGCTTGAAAAGTCGGTGGAGCGGGAGGATGCACGTAAACACAGCACTCAATTAGTACAACAATCACACGCGTGGAAAAAACAGAGTTCATTACGAAACAGATGCGTATACAACAAAAAATAAGGCGGTGCGCCACGGCACCACGAAAGCGTTCCCCAAACAGTCCCGGGCGCCCCCCTTTCACGACGAGAGAAGGTGGGAGGGGGCTGGAGGCGGCCAGAGGGCCTGAACTGGATGCGCCCCGAGAAAACCTGCCAAGACGGGGGAATGAGGCTCAATCCGCTCAAAATCTGTCCCCAGACTCCTCCCTGGGGTCCATGCTGCAGCTTTTCACACCGGATTAGTTTTTGATGGTCCCGGGGCCGGAAACAGGCGCCCAGAGGACGAACTGGAGTCCAGAGCCTCGAAACTCGCCCGCCCCCCCCCCCATCCTGCTCCCCAGAACCAATGCTGGGCAACCTCAGACCTCAAGCCGGCAACAAGGTCCAAGCTGGGGGGTTCCCCTCAGGCGACTGCCCCCGCAAGGCCCGCCCAGCCTCACGCGCTGCCGGTCGCGCAGCATGGCGGCGACGCCAGCGGCGCCCACCTCGCGCGCGGGGGCTCGGGAGGCGGCGCGCTTCGGCGGGCCGACGCGCGACGGCATCTGCCACCCCCTCCTCCCCCCCTTCCTGCTTCACCTTCTCCTCCTCCTCCTCCTCCTCCGCCTCCGCCTCCTCCTCCTCCTCCTCCTCCTCCTCCTCCTCTTCCTCCTCCTCCTCCTCCTCCTCCCTCCTCCCCCCTCCGCCTCCTCTCCTTCTCCTCCCCCTGCACCTCCTTAACCGCCCCCTCCCCCTCCTTCTCATCATCATCATCATCATCATCATCATCATCATCATCATCATCAACACCAGCATCAGCATCATCATCAGCAGCAGCATCAGCATCATCATTTTCATCATCTTCAGCATCCTCATCCTCATCCTCATCCTCATCCTCACCATCACCACATGATCAACAGCATCATCAGTATCATATTCATCAGTTGCATCATCGTCACCACCATCATCATCATCATCAACATTATCTTCAGCATCAGTAACATCAACAGCATCACCACCATTATCATCAACACTAGCAGTACTAACGATCATCATCAACATCAATACCAACATCATCACCATCACATCACCATCATCACCATCACCAACATCATCCAAACAGCATCAGCATCATCATCATCATCATCATCATCATCATCATCATCACCATACACATCCTCATCCTCGTCCTCATCCTCATCCACATCCTCATGCTTTTCCTCTTCCCCCTCCTCGTCCTCCTCCTCCTCCTCCTTCTCCTCCTCTCCTTCTCCCTACGCGTAGTCACAAGATGGTCCGCCATTATTATCCGGCATTGTCCACGGAGGTTGTCTTAACACGTTGCCTCGTCACCTTATGGTAATATGGTCGCGGCAACCAGCAACAACTCCTTCACCTCCTCCACCTCCTCCTCCACCTCATCCTCCTCCTCCGACTCTTCCTGCCCTCCCTCCTCACGTCCTCCTCTCCTCCAAAAATCGCCCCCGAGACACAACCAAAACACCTCCAAGTGGCCCCTCGGGTGGCCCCAAGACGCATCCAAGAATAGCCTCAAAGAGGCTTGCAAAAGGCCTCCCGAGAGATCCCAGCAGGTTTCCGACGGCCTTAGACTTACAACCCAAGAGCGGTCGCGGGATTAGCCGAAGGCACAAAAACACGCCCCTTGCACAACTCGCGATACCATCCGTTACGGGCCCCGCCACCCCCACCCTCCCCCCATCCAGTGCCACGTCACGCTCCGCGCTGGCACCGATTGGGGATCAACCATTCCTAGACACGCTAAGACAATATTCCAGAACGGCACCAGCGCAAACCGTGACGTTACCGGCCCGCCCCAGGAACGGGCTGAAAACCAGCACGGCCCGAAAACCAGAGCCCCTCGTGAATCCAGCATGGTCCTTATTTCAGCGTCTTGCCTGTACCTCTTCAGGTTCGTTCGGCCCCGCTTGGCACTCGCCCCGCCTCCTGCTTTTCTTGGCGCTGGTTCCACCCCCTGCTCCTCCAGATCTTGCTCCTGCTCCTGGTCGTCCTCCTCCTCGCCCGCCTCTACCAACTCCCCCTCCTTCTTATCCTCCTCGGCCCAGCCTGAGCGCGAACGAGCTCGTCCGCGCCACCTGCCACTTACGCCACCTGCCACTTACGCCACCGCACGGCCAAAGCAAAGGGCGGGTGGCGCCTCCCGAAGGGTGCTCGAAGAACCCTGGAAACCATCCAACGGGCTGTGCCTCACCAGCTCTGACAGCCGATGCGGTGCGAAGGAGCTCCACGAGGTACCGCCAGACGTGGACGGCCTGGAACAGAGTTGGCGCACGAGCGGGGCCAGCGAGGCCAGCGAGGACTCGGGCACCCCTGGTGCCAGCGGTGGGAGGGCCTCAGCAGCCTTGCGAAGAGTTCGCAAAGATCGTCACCCCTCCCAGGCCACACGCCACGCACCCGGTGCACCACAGCCTCTGCCCCCCCTCCCCGATGACAGCTGAAGGGTGCATAGCGTGCGCTCTCTTGTCAGCTCGCTGCAATCGCACTGAGGCAAGGTCAGCACGCGACAGACTCTGCGGTGCCACGGGCAACGGTGGTTTTCACGACCGCAGCAGGCACAGGAAGGCACGCACTCTCCTTGCCACGAGCACCGCGCTGCTTGCTGGAGACGTGGTCACAATTCGGGGATGGACAGACCCCCCTTTAGTAAAACGTGGTTTAATGAGAACGACCTGAGGCCCAAACCTGGCGGGCGCAAGCCTGGAAAATAACGGCCACGGCGCCCTCTCGAGAACCGAAAACGGACAATTCACGAATCGACGTGCCACTGTTGGGGGTTCTGTCCACCCCCGAACAATCGAGGTCGCACCTGCGCGGGCCGATGCGGGCAACCCAGTGGGCCCGCCGAGGCAGCACCGCGGCCTGGGCCCCGCGGGCCTCACGGAGATCCGAGGGAATGCGAGTCCCGCGAGCCATCCGTTGGGCCCAGTCGTCCGCGCGCGCGTTGCCTCCTCTCTCAAACCTGCTGGACAGACCTGGCTGAATGCGGGCCTCGGTGCAGTGACCCTGCGCTCTGCGGAGGTCGATGCACTCAACGCCTCCTCGGTCAGCGATGAGCTGCCACACTTGGGTCCACGGTTCAGACCAGGCTGCACGCGCTGAACAGCAGAAAGCTTGCCCTCGACGACACACCCCTTATTGCACGTAGGCGGAATCTGTGTAACACATGCTGCCTGGCAGGCTGTGCTGCAGAGCTCGCAGGAAAGCAAACACACCGGCAGGGTCAATGCCCTGACACACGAAGGAGAGACACCCACACACCTCCGAAGTGGCTCGAAAAGGACACTGGGGAAGAACACTGACTCTGGCCCATCCTACCGCTTGAGACTGCGGTGGTAGATGCTGGTCGATCCAACGGCCGTCAAGGAAGATGTGCCCAATCATCTCGGTGAGGCCTCAACCAAACCACCTGTCGGGAAGCGAGGCGGAGGAAGGAAGGGGAGAGCCTCGGGGACGAGGAGCCTCTCGGCGAAGAGGAGAGGAAGGGGGTTGACGCACGCTCTGGCCACCGAATCTAAAAACTCTGGTGGGATCTCCTCCGTCGCAAGGCCATGGTGGCCCCCACAGCACGCGTGACTATGCAGGAGAATGCCAGGAGCCTCGTGACACATGCGACAGTGGGGGTCGGCGGAATATCGCGAAAGTCACTCCCTCTTTTGTGGCCACTGCCCTCCGCAGACAACACTCCTCCACACACAACCCCTGGAGCCTGACAGAGCGAAGCCTGGCCTCAAGGAGCCCTCGGAGTCGCGAAGACGAGGCCACCACCTTAGACTTCTTGACAGCAACGAGCAGACTCACGTTTTCTAATTGCGAGTGGCACACGTGAGCTCGGCGGCAACGTCCTTCTCGCGCCCCAGCCGTTGGAGCCCGGAATCGTCAAAAACACTGTCTCAAGGCAAATGCGGAAAGGCAACCTGCACTGAACCGAGAGGCGACAAAACCACAAGCTGAAGCATTAGCGTGGCGAAATGGCAACCTGACAGGACGGCCTGCAACGTGCAGGTGGGATGGGACCCGGCATCGCTGAGGGCCAACACGCGGGGGCAGCGGTATAGGTCCTCTAGGAGCTCGAGCTGCCTGACAGCTCCTTCTCTTCCTCCTCCTTCCCCTCGTCCTCCTCCTCCTCCATAATTTTCCTTCTGAATGACTCCTCCCCGACGCACCCCCAGACGTGTCGATAGGGCGGGCTGTACGTTGTGCCTGAGACTCCCGCACCACATATGATCCTGAACTTTGAAATGTGCAAACAAATTGCGCGGTTGGTGGGCGGGTGGTTCTGACAAATGTGGTTCCCGCTTTAGCGCAGCACGCATCCGTCTTATAAATGTGCAACAGTTTCAAGGATGGAGGCCGAGTCGGTTTCAACATGTTACTCCCTCCTTGAATGCAACAACTTCAATGATTCGTTCGGTGAAAATCCCACAAACCGCGTGTTTGCACGATTGAGGGCTGTCGGGGCACAGTATCCACACTGATTCGCGGTAGAAAACATCGCGGTGATTAAAGTCATGTTGACTCGCGGCGTGCAACTCCCAGGAATGTTGCACTGGCGCGATTGATGAACATTCTCGGACGGTTGTCTTTCCATAGGAAATTGCCGCCATGAGAATGTGCTCTTGCACGGAAGGTTTAACACCACGTCGCTGTTGCGTCTGGAATTTCCACTGGTCCGCCTCCTCCTCCTCCCCCTCCTCCTCCTCCTCCTTCTGCTCCTCCTCCTCCTCCTCCTCCTCCTCATCCTTCTCCTCTCGCCTCCTCCCTGCCTCCTCCTCTCGTTTCCTCCCTCCCTCCTCTTCCTGCGTCCTCCTCCTCCTCCTCCTCCTCCTCCTCCGCCTCCTCCTTCCCCCTCTTCCACCTCGGGCTCACAGGCCACGACGAGGTCGCCCGGCTCCACGGCCCACCTAACGCACGCGGGGGGGGAGGAGGCCCTCGGCCGGGGAGCCCTTTGGCAGCCGCGCGGGCCTGTCGCACACATTGCCCCGTCAGCAGCATGGGGGGGGGGGGAGAATGGGAGACCCAGCGTGTGAGGAAGGATGAGGGTGGGGAGGGGGGTGGGGGGAGGACGAAAGAAGAGGACGGAGGGGGGGGGGGGGAGAAAAAAAAACAGGAACAGTGAAGGGGGAGGCGGAGGGAGAGTGGAGGAGGGGGGAAGGGGGATGACAACGAGGAGGAAGCGTCGGGCTCCAAGGCTCAGGTAACCACCGATCCTGGCGCAGCCTGCTCCCTTTACGTGCGTCGCCGCGACCCCACTCCCTCACTCACGTCCCCCCTTCTTCAGTACAAGCACAGCGGCTGACAAACAGGCACTCCCAGAACCTGCGCGACATCGCAGGCTCAAACAAAAACGTGCCACAACGACAGCGCCCTCCTGCGGCAAAGAAAGCGTTTTAAAAACTGAAACCTGGAAGGCGTAAGCGGCTGTGAAATCCCCCAGTCACCGAACATCGATCCTCGACCTCCCGACTTTTGGCCTTGTTTTCAATATCGTTGATTGCCGATGATGTGGCTTGCCAAGCACCTTGTATGTATGTATGTTTCCATATGGTTGGTTGCTGAAAATGCGACTTGCCAAACATTTTGTATGTAAGTGTATCTATATATATACTCATACATGTAGTCACATTCACAAAAAAAAAAAAAAAAAAAAAAAAAACGAAAAAACAAACGCCAATATTCACCAATACTGGCATCTGTGCCAATCCCGTCGGACTGAACACGCCGACAGTGATGGGGCACTGCTGGTTTGGGACTTGCGCCGGCCACGTGTCCTCGTGGCTGCTGCTGCGCCGACAGCGTGCCGATGCATGACAACACGCTGCACCAACACCTCGTTCGAACCTTCGGTGGCAACTCATGGGGCATCCCACACCATCGTGTCGGCGTTTGCGAATCGACGCTGAATCGATGCTAAACCGACGCTCATCGACGCTAAATCGACGCTGATCGACGCTGAATCGGCGCTATCTCATCGACTTCCAGACGCGAGTCGACGCTGATCGGCGGTATCTCATCGACTCCCAGACGGGATTTACGAAGGTAGACCAGGCTCCCATGATTTGCTACCGAACAAACCCCAGACATGCGACGTCCTGATTGTTTCAATATGGGGTCCCTGGAAAACCCGGCCCTTTCCCCGGGACCAGCCTTTCATCCTGAGTCGTTTTGTTGCGCCCCCGAGGCCCAGCGAGGGCCCCCCGAGGCCGAGAATGGCCGAAAACCTCCCGCCCCGATGTTTTTTCTTCAACGACGCGATCATGTCTGGGACGCACACTCGACGATTCACGCGCCGTCCGGGCGCGGAGTCCTGCGCACGTGCGAGCGATGGTCTCTTCTCGCTCGCAGCCGCAAGCGGGCAGCCGCGCGGCGTCGACAGTCGAAAGAAGACGCCAGGCCTACGTGGTGGGCGGGAGAGAGCCTAAACAACAGCCGGCAAGCGTGGAAAAGGGCAGAGCGGGGGGAAGGAAGAGCGCGGGAGGCGGCGGGGCAACGGAGGGAGCGAGCGATGGCACGCGCCGTGGCACAGAGGAAAAGCTCGGCGGTCGGAGGTCCGGGCCCCTGCCCGTCCTTTGCCTCCCTCTCCCCCTCCCTCTGGGGAGCCTCGCGTCCCCGCGCCCTCCCTCCCTCGCCCCCGCCTCCCTCGCCCCGCCTCCTCCTCCCCCGCCTCCCTGCAGTCGGGCCGCTGGCAGAAGGAGCGCGAAGTGAGGAACGAAGCCCCTCCTTGGCGCTGTAAGCGCCTCCGTGCCCCAGGAGGGCAAGAGGAACAGCACTGGAGGAACCTCAGGAACATCGAACCCCTTCCGAACTCAAACTGTTCCTTATTTCCGCGTTTTGACTGTACCTCGCCTCCGCCTCGTGCCAGGCCTTTTTTCCCGTGCGATCGCCAGAGCACGCTCAGAAGACTGCAAGATGGGTGGTAGGATCTCATAGAACGAACAAAAAAGGACCTCCAACCCGGGCAAAAATCAGCGGAGCCTGGTCAGACCCCGTAATGAAAACGATGGCCGCGGTGGAGCGCCCGCCCTTGTTGCCCAGAAGAAGCGCCTGCCAGGAACCGCAGGTCGCGCCAATATTAGGTCGGCCATGTCCCCCTACAGGCGAATTTTGGACGGACAATCAAAAATATCAAAACAAAAAAACAGCAAAAAAAAGTAAAGCATATTTTTGAGAAATGAAGAAATCGTCCTCAGACTATGTTCTGACTATTTTTCGATATTCGCCCTGTAGAGGGACAGGCCCGACTAAACGCCAACGTGATCGCGCAGGTCGTCAAGGTGACCCCGAGGGCCCGAGTCCTGGGGGCTAGAAGGTATAGGCCTGGCCCCCCCCCCGGTCCTCGCCCCCCTCCCTCCCCTCCTCCTCCTCCTCCTCCTCCTCCTGCTCCTGCTCCTCCTCCTCCTCCTCCTCCTCCTCCTCCTCCTCCTCCTCCGCCGCCCTCCTCCTCCTCCTCCTCCTCCCTCCCTCCCTCCTCCTCCCTCTCCGCCTCCTCCGCCTTCTCCCCTTCCCCCCGATCCTCGCCACGCCTCATTCCCGCCAGACATGCGAGCGTTCTCTTATCCGGCGTTTCGACGTTGGGCGGAAGGGGGGGGGAGGGGGGGGGTCTGGCTCAAGACCTCCGCTTGACGCAACTGCTTGCAACAGTGCGTCCTATGCGGGAGACCCCAACTGCTTGAAACAGCGCCAAAAACAGCCAAGACCTACTCCATGGGGAGGGGAGGGGAAAGGGGGGTGGGCGAGGGCAGGCGCCGAAAACGATCACCATCCAGCACCGCGCCTGTTGTTTCCACGGCGTGCCTTCCCCGAAGCCTGAGCCCCTTCCCGGGGAACGGCTTCTCAGTCCGAGGCTGCCCTCCCTCACGGCCCTGGAAGCCCGGCAAGGGCGACCCTGAGGCCGAAGATGGCCAACCCTGAGATCCGATGTTGCGTCAGTACAACAACAACAACAACAACAACACCAACACCAACACCAACAACAACAACAACAACAACGACGACGACGACGACGACGACGACCACGACCACGACCACGACCACGACCACGACCACGACCACAACCACAACCACAACCACAACCACAACAGCAACAGCAACAGCAACAGCAACAGCAACAGCAACACAGCAACAGCAACAGCAACAGCACACAACACAACAACAACAACAACGACGACGACGACGACGACGACGACGACCACGACCACGACCACGACCACGACCACAACCACAACACAACCACAACCACAACAGCAACACAACAGCAACAGCAAGCAACAGCAACAGCACAGCAACAGCACAGCAACAACACAACAACAGCAAACAACAACAACAACAACAACAACAACAACAACAACAACAACAATCATTTTACCCGAACGCGTGGTGTTCTCCCCAGTGCCAGGGTTTTCATACGACACCAGGCAATACCCCCACTTCGTGGGGGGGCATTACAAGCTCTACCAAATATCCAAACGACTCTTCGCGACCACCCAAACCCAGCTTCCCGCCCTATGACGTTGGGACACTTCACTTCGTGGCATGCGGACGACCGTGGCTACTATTCAGGGCCCCGCGGCCGACGACGACGGCGTGCGCGCGCGAAGAAAAAACGAATGTGTCCCGCATGGTATTATTTGACAGGGATGATGGCCCTGGCAGGTGCGCAACCGTTGTCGCAGAAGTTCGAAAAAGTTGCTCGCAAAAGCCCGTTTGACAGAAATGTTTAAAAAGTGTTGGGTTTCCTACGAATCCGCAAGAGCGCGCGGGATGAGATTTTGACATTTTTTTGTTGAAAAACCATTGGTTTTTTGATGTTTTTATGTTAAAATCGCTCCGAACACTAAGCTTTTGGAAGGATTTCGTCTTGCGCGCGCGAATGTCCACTTTACCTTATTTTTTGCAAGGGATTCTTGAAATTTGATTATATTAGAACAAGAAATGTCATTTTATAGTGTTTTTTGCAAGGGAAAGCGGGGGGGAACAAAACAACCGGATCTTGATCACATCGTTTTACCTGAGGCTTCCTCACGAAAATGATGAAAATGTAGCTGCGGCCTAGGCGCGGCGGGGGGGGCGTGCACCAGGGGGCCCAACAATAATTATTCTTTAGAATTAATAATGTTCAACAACAACAACAACAACAACAACAACAACAACAACAACAACAACAACAACAACAACAACAACAACAACAACAACGCGGAACATCACGACCGGAGCTCCGGACCTAAGCTTCCTGTGTTAGTCTTCGAGCCAGATCGATCTGTGAGGGTTCCGAACAAGCCCGAAGCGGGGCGAAAACGCCCTTCGTGAAAAAAGTGCGACGCCAGATTCTCAGGGAAAGGCATCCAGAGGCGCAAACTCAGACGTGTCGCGACGCGAGGAAAGCACGGCTCGCCCCTCATTGCTGCTCCTCCAGCCCCGATTCTTGACAAGCTGGCGGGGGCAAGATCAGTCAGTATCGAATCGAGCATTCGAATCGAATCGGACGGACCTGCCCTGGGTCGGGCTGCGTCGGACGGAGTCGAGAGCGGACCGGATCGGCCGCGCCGAGATGCACAACAACGCCTGGCATAAGCATCGGGCCGCGCCGCATCGCCGATCGATCGGGTCCTGTGGACCCCAGCCTGTGAGAAGTCGTCTGGCACTGTGGGCCATGACTCGGGCCTCCGGCGGCCTTCCGGGGAGATCCGGGCACCCCCAGAACGCTCTCGGCGAGGCGCAACCGCTGAGATGCATGCCGAAGCTGGAAACCGCCAACCTCCAACGAAGAACGCCCGGAAACCCCGAATCTCGTCTAACCCGATCCTCCGAGGCGACGGCGGCGGAGATCTAGGTTCAGGTCGGGCATGCCCTCCTACAGCCTACAGGCGGTTCTTGGAAGCAGAATTTCAAAGCAGTCCAACAAATATTCAAGCATACATCAAGGTAGTCCAACGAAAACCTGCCCATATCATTTTCCACTACTCTTGAATGTTCCTCCTGTAGATGGACATGCCCGACTGAAATCTAGGCCGTTTGCTGGCCCTGGGACCATGGACCCGAGCAGGGTCGGACCGGACGTGGACTCCCAGAGGCCTAGTCGTTGCTTGACAATCCCGGGGCCCAGTGAGGAAAAGCATGGTCAAACATACAATTTTAGAAAACGTCCCCAGACTATGTTCTTCACTATTCTGGGGCACTCCTCCTGTAGAGGGACATGCCCGACTGACACCTCGGCTGTTTGCTGGCCCTGGCGGCAACCGACGAAGCACGCCCGGCCGGAGGAGGTGCCGCCTGGCGCCGCGGCCCGCATTCCACCGGGCCACCGCGAGGCCCTCCGTCACGCCGTCCACGCGCAGCGCGGGGGCGCCGCGGCTGGCGCGGGCGCGGGCGGGGGGGGGGCGGAGGACGGGCGATGTCTGTTGTTGGCTCGGCAGCCCACCAGACGTGGCATGCTTGGGGGTGATCCAGCAAGGCGGCCGCGCCACGGACTCGGCACGTCTGGGCCAGGAAAGGGGGGCGGACGAGGGAGGGAGGGCGAGGATGACGGGATGAGGGGAGGGGGGCAAGAATGACGGGATGAGGCAAGGAGGGCGGGAGGGAGGGAGGGAAGAGGGGAGAGAGGGAGGGGTGAGGAGAGAGGGAAGTGCTGGGAGGGATGGAGTGGGGAGGGATGGGAGGAGAAAGGGATTGAGGGAGGAGAGGGGGAGGGGGATGGAAGAGGTCAGAGGAATAAGAGAGAGAAGGAAGAGGGGGGAGGAGATATGGAGGGAGGACGGAATTCGAGAGTGGCCTCTTTACATAAAGAAGTCCAAACAGAAGATGGCCAACAGCAACATCAGCAACATCAGCAGGCGGAGGGATGGAGGAGGCGCCTGCAACACGAGGTCGATGAGGAGAAACAGTGTGAGGATGAGGGTTATGGAGGATGATCAAGATGGGAAGGAGGATTCAAATGACGGAAGAGGAGGGGGAGGAGGCGGCGCGGGATGATGGGGGATGTGGGAGGGAGGGAGGAGGAAGGAGGAAGGAGGCCAGAGGAGGAGGATGAGGAGGAGGAAAGAGGCGGGGGGAGGAGGGGGGAGGACAGAGGAGGGAGGAGGAGGAGCTGGATGACGAGTACGACGTGGAGGTGGATGGGCGTGGGTGGAAGACGAGGGTCGCACTAGGTTCAGTCTTTTGATGGTCACGGGGCCCGCTCACGTACCCTGGAATCCGAATTCGATGAATAACTCGCGGATTGAACAAATGGTACCGTCCGAGATCGGAAAATGCGTAGTCGTTGGTACAAGAAGAACAACAACACGAACAGCACGCCGACGTGGGACACCCGCCAGAATGTAGCACCGTGCCTTCGGGCAAAAACAACGGAGGAGCGCACTGACGGGCTCCCAGCGGCGGGTGCCCTCCCGTCCACAAGTCCCGACCTCCCCCCTGGGGGTAATGTTGCATCCCGGAGATGTGTGTTGATGATCCTGGGGCACGATCGCAGGCCCCAGGAGGCCGACATCGAGGAAAAACGCACGGATGAAACACACACGCCGTCGGACATCTGGGTATGCGTCGATGATGGTGGGGCAGAAAACAATGTCAGCCATTTCCCGCCCAGGCTGCCACGCGGACCCCTCCCCCGCGTGGCAGCCTCAGCGTGCTACCTCTTGAGTGAGCACCGGGAGCGAGGGCCACCGTTGACCAAAGACGAAGGAATAGCGCGCAATCGGGCTCCCAACGGCGGCGTGTCATCGATACTCTTCTCCCTCCCACGATAAATCTGCCTCCCTTCGCCCCCCAGTGGAGGACCCCCCACGCATGGTCGCCCTCCTCAGTGTTCGGGCCCACAGGTGACGACCCCATCCCTGGGGGTCCTTTTGCATCCCGGCTGTACAGTGGAGGCCAGTCCACAAGAAACCTTCCACAATAAACCCAACCCTGAGACCCCAGGACGTACATCGTTTTTTGGTGCGGGGACGAAACCCAAGAAAACCAGGGCACCCTGGAGGCGAGCAGGGTGCTTCTTGGCACGGGCCTCCACTGCAGTCCTGACGGGGGCCCGAAGGGGCCAGAGTCAACGAACAACTGCTGGACCGACACAGAACACACCGTCGGAGGCCCGGGCACGGCAGGCTCGTGCCGTGACGACCCCGACGATCCCGGCGCTGATCTCCGACGCCGCGAGGGCCGTTCGACCCTCTTGCACAATCGGCGGCCTCTCGATCGCCACGTCGCTCCACACTGGCCGACTCGGGGCCACCGGCGGCGCTCGGGCTCCGAGCGCCCGCGGCGGGGCCGCCGCCGCGTCGACGCGACACGAGCCTGCCGTGCGCGCTGGCCTGCCCCCCCCCCTGGGCCCCCCCGTGCGGGAGGGCCGCCCTCAAAATTTTGGGGTCCTGGGACGGCGTGGTGACAGGCCATACGCGCTGGCCTGCCCCCCTGGGCCCCAGTGCAGGAGGTCCGCCCCCAAAATGTTGGGGTCCTTGGACGGCGTGGTGGCATGCCGCGCGGCGAGCTCGGAACCCCCAAAGACCGCATCGCGCGGTCCGTCACCGCAAGTGTTTGGGACCATGGAGGCCCCAATCGCCCGAGACATCCCCGGAGAACGATCCAAGCTCCAAAACCTTGAGGTCACCTCCAGTGCGCAGTCGTCGTCGTCGTCGTCGTCGGCGTCGTCGTCGGCGTCGTCGTCGTCGTCGGCGTCGTCGTCGTCGTCGGCGTCGTCGTCGTTGTCGTCGTCGTCGTCGTTGTCGTCGTCGTCGTCGTCGTCGTCGTCGGCGTCGTCGTCGTCGTCGGCGTCGGCGTCGTCGGCGTCGGCGTCGTCGTAATGCCCTCCGGCTCACCACGCGGTGTGGTCACCACCACGTTGAGGGGCCCCCCCGCACGGTGGGACGCCCCGCCTCGAGGAGCCGGAGCCGCACTCCTGCAGCTGCAGGCCCCACCCCTCGGGCGCGCGGGGGAGGAGGAGGAGGAGGAGGGGGAGGAGGAGGAGGAGGAGGAGGAGGAGGAGGAGGAGGAGGAGGAGGAGGAGGAGGAGGAGGAGGAGGAGGAGGAGGAGGAGGACGCGGAGGAGGACGCGGAGGAGGAGGAGGACGAGGAGGAGGAGGAGGACGAGGAGGAGGAGGAACAAGGAGGACAAGGAGGACAAGGATGATGAGGAGGAGAAGGAGCATGCGGGTGCTCGAGCCGTCGGTGACGCGCGACAAACGAATTGTGCGGCAGCAAGAGAATGCGCGCGGGAGGAGAGGCGGCGGCAGAGGACAAGGGGGAGGGGTAGGGCACTGAGGGAGGCGGTACGGCCATCGTGCTACCAGAAGGAACGCAAGATAGGGAACAAAGGGGCTATTCTGGCCACGGCGGGCCTACGCCACGAATAGGCTCCACGACGTAGATCTAAGGAACGACCCGAAAACCCGAGGCCGTCCTGAACCCAAAGCGGTCCTTATTTCAGCGTCTTGACGGTAAGGGTGATGGCAGAGCAGCACGCGCTCAAACCTATAGAGAGGAGGAATGGGGAAGGGCGAGGGTATGAAGGCGCTATAAGTATGGGCGCGAATTGTGCAACCCCGAGGGAGGATCCCGTTCGAGCGGGAAGTCCCATCCGACAACGCACACCCACAGGCCCCACGCAGGTCGACCCCGAGAAATATGGGTCGCAAAGGTATGGGTGCCAGCTGCAGCTCGTGAAAACTGGGTGGGGGAGGGGGAATCCCTGCCTCCTCTCGTAGTGAAGCAATCACACGACAACGAAGCGTTGGTTGCTTCAAGGGCCCTCGCCAAGGCCCCGAGCATCACCACACGGCTCGGGGTGAGAATCCGGTCCCAGGCCCCTGGGGGTCCAAGTTGTGAACGAAAACGCGGCGTTGGAGTTCTGGGAACGGGGGGGGGCAAGAGGGGGGAATGGGAGGGGAGAGGGGAGGGAGGGGGGGAGGAGGGGGACACCCATGAGAGCAGCATGCGGCCACGGGTGATCTGGCTGGCCCGAAGGTGCTTCGCGGCGCACGCACAGCTGAGATCGAAGCCGACGCTGAAGCGCGCAGAAAAATTGAGGCGCACAGAAAAGTGAAGGGGAGTGGGAGGGGCCGGGGGGCGGCGGCGGGGCGAAGGGGGGTAAGAAGGGGGGTGGGGGAGAGGATACGGAGAGGGGAGGGAGGATAGCAAGGGACAGGGCCCGAGCAGGGGGGGCGGAGGAGGTAGGGGATAAGGAGGGGAACGGGCGTAAGGAAGCACAGACGAAGGCAGGACGACAACAAATTCGAATGAAGACAAATCGGGCACGCGCTTCGGAACGCCTTGAGAACGTCCCGGAACGCTCTTGAACGATTGATTATCATAGCGGGCCTGCCTGCGAGGGGGAGGAGGGAAGGAGGGAGGGGAAGGGGAAGGGAGAGGGGGAGGAGGAACGGGCGGGCAGAGGGGGAGGAACGAACGAGTGAACGACCATGCGGACAACAATCCAGGCCTCAGTAACCCCAGGCGGGCAGGGAATCACAGAGGAAGAGGAGGCGGAGGAGGAAGGAGGCACCAAGATAATGGACACGCGGATGATGAGGGGGAGGGAAGGGGGGCACAGGATGCGGTGGTGCCGTGGGGCCTAGCAAACTCACTGCAATGACATATGGGCTTCTTACTCTTGCTGGGCTGGCGCATGAAGAACACAAGGAACTGCTGCATGTCACTGGGTGCCGGCACGATCATATCCATGATGTGATATGGACAAGCTAACCTCGATGACCCACCTACAAACAATACGCAACACCTGGGAGGGTGAAACCCATCAGGGGCACACATGTTAGACTCGAACCTCGCGATGATCTGGCGGATATGCTCAGGGCTCACCCGTGGAATAAAATGCGACCGAACACGGAGAACAAGCTCAGGGACTTGAAAAGGCCCCTCCTGAGCCACAGAGCTCTTTCAGCAGCAAACCCGCGAGGAAGAGCCGACGAGAACACGCGGTCATCAAACTCCGATGCCTTCTCTGCTGGCGGGGCGCCTGCTTTCACCGACGACAGAGCCTACTTGCAGTGATCCTTACCGGAACAGAGCACCATTCTTCCCAGGCTTCCCTCGAAGCCTTCCTCTCCTCCAACTGTCCCACAGCTTGCCACTCATCCACGAAACGATCAGGAAAGGTCAAAAGCTCAATGGGGTCCCCTGCATACTCCTTCACACGAAGACTGCAAACTAACGAGGCCAGAACAGAATGCCAAAAGTCTGCTCCTGCGCGCCAGCGCAGACGAAAAACCTCGCCCGGAAACGGAAGATCAACCCGCTGACGAAGGTGACGGGATCGATGTGATACAAGATCTCCAGGAGCCCGATACAAACCCTGACTTCTCCAGCACATGCGGAGATCCATAGGAGAGCTTGCCCAAGGAAAACATACGTGCATACCCGAGTGGCCGTGAGACTACGCGCGGAGGTCTGCACAAGCCAAGCCCCAGCGGAGAACCTCCAGAAAGCCCGCGTTTTCGTTTTTCCAAGAATCATACTCGCTGCGAGTAAAGCAACTCCAGTAGCCACAGCTCAGCCAGACAACAAACAAGGGGCGCCGAAATCACCCAAATGGTGGTCAACGAACTCTCTAAGTTGGCCTTCTAATGCAGAGACGTCTGGTGGAGGGGGAGAAGGACCTACGACGGCTTCCGAAGGCGCGAACTGGTGCGGCCTCGGCGCAGGCACACGCTGATCTCCTGCCGCGTGGCGAACAAGAAGATACACTGGCCTGCGTGGACTGTAAACGCCACTGAGATTTGTCTCAACAACAAGTGCCAACTGGCCCACTATGCTGCCAACCATGAAGAAATCAATGGTAGAGGCCTGGCCGCCAGGCGCGAATGCGAGGACAGCAAGGGCCCCGACAAGAACAAGCAGCTTACGCAAGAGTCCCCACGCTGCCACTGCACTCGGCCAAATATTGAAGTCCCAATGAAGAGGGCCCCGCGATGATGGATGTCCGAGACGGTGGCCCTGAGGCTCTCGAGGCTAACGCATACGAGTCCAGGCGAGCGCTCGAGGTGAGCGGCGCAAGCAGCAACTGCAACGAACACAGGACCACCACTCTTGAAGGAACTCAGAGTAACTCGCCCAATGAATAAACCCAGTACCAGCAGGTGGGTTAAACATGTCAAGATGCTTCCTGGGCAAAAGCATGGCTTCTCCGAAGGGATTGCCAGAATCAGTAAACGTACGCTCCGAAGCAAAGACTCTCCTGCCCTGGCGTTGCAGCTCAGCCGCAGCGCCCTGGAACAAGGCCCCTTGCGCTTGTGTCCCCGGAAGAAACAAACCTCCGACATGGTCTCCCGTACAAGCTCTCTGAAGCCGAGGCCGCTTTTCTTCTGGCCCTGATTACCTCCAGCATCTGCTCGGGCGTCCGCAGACCAGCCCAGCTGGCGCCATTGAGCGTAGCAAACGTGAATTTGCTAGCTTGACTTGAATGCGAAACATGCCTGGCAGGATGCTCGGCCCGATGAGACGGAGGGGACAAGGCCGAACCTCAACGCGTAGACGACATACCCACCGTTATCGTACACGCGAGCCCCTCCCCACCCAAATGCCGCAACATAACTTCCTGCTACAGACCCGCTGGGAGACGATCCCGGCCAACTACTTTCGATGCCTGCCTGGAGGGCCGGCGTGCATGAAGCTGCCCTCCATCGCGAGGGCCAGCGTGCATGCAGCTGCCAGCCTCGCGACCCGAAGACTCCATTAACGCAGGCTGCGTGGCCCGGGCGTGCCAGCACTGCCCCAGGTGGGACGCACCTGCACGGCGACGTGCGGCCCTGGGCTGCAAGCCGACGACCCGGGAGCAGCCAGAAGCGCATGCCAAAGATGACCCAGGAGCGTGGGCGGCACAATTACAAACTAGTACCAGATGTCCTCCTTGGAGGCGCGCGTCCGACCCACACATCTAGTATTCCCATCTTGTAGTATATCATTTCCCGAACGGTGTGGCCAGAAAGCGCCCGCCATGACGCATATACAAGAAGACTTCCCGGTGCGCGCGTCGCCTCTGCGAGGGCGACGCCCATATAGTATGAAGTATGTTGTGGTGACGCCGGGGACAGCCAGAAACGCACGTCAACGATGCGCACATAAGCCGGCACACTCGGAGACGACCCGGTCCACCGCGCGGCTCTGGCATGGGACGCCCCCCGCTCGTCATCCCTCAGCGAAGCGCCTCTGCCCTCGAGGGGCAGGGGCGTGCAGGGGTCCAGAAGGCTGGGCGTTGAAGCCGAAAGAGCACCCCACGACCCTGAACTCGCTGCACGCGGACCAACGCCCTCTTCCAGGCCCAAGGCCGAAGGGTGGTCCGTCTGATCCAGGAAGGAGACAGACTCTCGATAGGGAGGAGGATGACCCTGGGGATTACCCTGAGAGGTACAGAGGTGTACGGATCAATGGGGAGGAGGAGGAGGAGGAGAAAGAAGAGAAGGAGGAGGAGGGGGGGAGGAGGAGGAAAGGGAGGAGGGGGAGCAGGCGGAGGCGGCGGCGGCGCTCCTCAAGAGTCCGAAGCGGGGTCGAACTTGTGAGGGTGGGAGCAGATGCCCCCCTCAAATCTGCAGCTCGGCAGCTCACGCACGAGGGGGCACTAGCGGCAGCCCCGTGCATGCACGGGGGTAGCCAGTTCACAGCCCGTGCCGAGGCGGCTCCCTCCTGCACCAGGGAGGCGAGATCAAAAACTTAAACCCACGGTCTCATCACGATCCACCTCCAGCCTCGCACTGCTGATTCTGATTGGCAGCTCCCGTCCGCGACAAGAAAAAAATCCGAAGGCGGGCTCCGCTCAAGAAGCTCGTCTTCCTGGTCCAGGGGAACGAAAACGTTGTTCCGAGACAGCATTCTTGAGCGCGTCGACGAGTCGGCGCTGGACGGCATCAGAACACCGTTCCACGTGCTGGCAAGCCTCCACCAACTCTGCCTCGTCCACCTCCACGAGCGGCGGCGCCTCTGGCGTGGCAGGACTAGGCCTTGGTGGTGATGGGGATGGCGGCCCGAAGTCCGTCGAGAGAGTCCTGGTACGTGGCCTGAAAGGACTCCTGGACCTCTGAAGCTTCAACGCCCGAAAGGGTCGCCTGGAAACCACCAAGCTGTTCAACGAATGTCTCAATGGACGGCGGGCCTGGAGGTGTGCTTGCAATACGTTCGGCAGCTCGCTCAGCAGAAGCCTTCTTAGCCTCATCCAAAGCACGCTTCTCGCGCACAATATCGGTCGCGAGCTCCTCCTTTCTGGCCACAAGCTCCTCCACCTGGGCAGAGATGACAACAAAGGTCTCCCTCCATCGTGGTGATGCGCTCATTGGCCTATTGCTGGTCCTGCCCAGCACGGGACACTATCTTAGACGGCGGGATGGTTGTGCGACGATGCTCCAGGGATGCATCCCAAGCTTGAGGGATGGCAGCGGCCGACGCTGCACGCAGAAGACTCTTGAGCTCGCCTCCTGCGAACGTTTGCGAAAACGATGGAGCTCATCATGGGCAGAAGCACAGCCCGTGGGCTTCTGCTCACGAGCGTCATGACGTTCACCCCCCAGGCCAACTCCCTCCTCCTCCTCTTCCTCCTCCTCCTTACCGCGGCCCGTCCCTATACGACAGTATTTTCCCTCTGCCGCAGCCAGGACCCACGGTTCGTGAGTCCACGCTCGGCGAGGTGGGCCCCCACTCATCTGAGGAAGCGGATGCTTACAGTGGTGGCAGTATTTGAAGTGCGGCGGACTCTTCTTGCACGAGCAGTTGGGGCAGAACACTGGGGGAACAAACAATGACACAAACATAAAAACTCGGAGGTCCGCGCGGAATTCTTGGGGATCTGCGAGGGGCGGCGCTGAAGGCGCCCCTGGAGGGGCCCAGCGCAGATCCGAAAAGTCCACGTGTAGCGCAAAACGTTTATGATTATGCCGTTGCTACTTCTTCGAGTTGGGGCAGACCACGCCTCCACCCCGCGCATGAGGACCACCTCCTGTGGCCATGCAACAAGAAGTGCAGCCGACCGATGGGCAGACACTGAAGTCTGCCTCGAACGCCTGGGCCACTTGGCCCTTCCCGACAGATGCAACAACCGGCTGAACCCCTTGAGCGAGGTCGGGTGGTTGAGGAGCGGGCCCCTTGAGCCCAAATGGCTACGGACTCCTCCTCCCTCTTCCTCCTCTACAATTACACAATATGAATACTACTCTCCCACTTCCCCTGATGGCGTCCGGAAGATATTCGGCACCCCCCCGCGTACTGTTTTTTACACACAGGATTCCCCGGAGTTGGGTTTTCGCTTGTGTTTTTTTCTAAAATGCTGCTCTCGCTGAGGCGCTGGCCTAATTTTCGGGCTCCCGCTCCTTCCGAATCGTGTTCCCGCTGCAGCGCTGGCCTCATTTCCGCGCTCCCGCTCGTTCCGAATCGTGCTCCCGCTGCAGCGCTGGCCCAATTTCTGCGCCTCTCGTTGTTCCAAAACGTGCTCCCGCTGCAGCGCCGACGTTTTCGATCCTTTTTAAGAAGCCCCAAATCTAGAAAATGATCCCCGGCAAAAACATTGGAGGTGATTACACATCCGGTGTCGATTCGTTGATTTTTGGGGCCGCAGAAAGCCCCCCCCCCCTTTTGGGCGGCGTCCTTTTCCGCACAGGATTCCCGGGAGTTTGGTTTTCATCTATGTTTTTGGAGTCGCACAACCACCGGAAAGCCGCGGCCGCGCGAGGCGACGGGTAATCCTTGTTGCGCATATCATGTCTGGTGTACTCGGCCCGCACAACGCTGCACTTTTTGTAATTCCAAACAGGTGCTTTGCCAATCTTGCCCGTCTCTTTCTTGACATCGCAGAAAATGCGCACGAGCCGCAACGAATCAACCTCCTCCCGGGCGAGGTCGTACATGGGGACGCCGGCGCCGCCGACAGAGAAGAGTCCGGTGTTTGCATCGTACCGTGGGCCTCATTTTCGGATCGGTGTTTGGCCTCCGTCGTTCAGGATGGCGTTCTCGCCCCAGCGCGGGCCTCTTTCTCGCGCGCCCATCCGCCCGCCACCACCGCGCCGCACCACACCACACCACACCACACCACACCACACCACACCAGCACCAGCACCAGCACCAGCACCAGCACCAGCACCAGCACCAGCACCAGCACCAGCACCAGCACCAGCACCAGCACCAGCACCAGCACCAGCACCACGAGCACGAGCACGAGCACGAGCACGAGCACGAGCACGAGCACGAGCACGAGCACCAGCACCAGCACCAGCACCAGCACCAGCACCAGCACCAGCACCAGCACCAGCACCAGCACCAGCACCACCACACGCACGCACACACGCACGCACTCACGCACGCACGTGCACCACCACCCACTACGCACGCGCGCGCGGAGCCACAGGCCCGCTACGACACGCGTCCGCGGATAGAGAAAATCAGCGCCATGGTAAGGGATGGGAGGGAGGGGTAGGACGTCAGATATGACGCGAGCGCACCTAGCTTGTTCTTTCTCCCCTCTCTCCCTCCCTCCCTCTCTCTCGCTTCCCTCCCCCAACGTCTTCCTCGCCCCCACCCCCTGCCACGCGATCCCCCCCCCGCCCGTTCCCGAGAGGGGTGAAGACGGCGGCGCCGCCCAGGCCTCGTCCGGAAGCCGCTCCATGTCCGCCTCCCAGACCTGAGGCCGCCGGCCCGGCCGCCAGCAAGGAGGCGAGGGGGCGAGGGGAGGAGGGTGCGAGGGGAGGAGGGGGCGAGGGGCGAGTGGGAGGGGCGAGGTGCGAGGGGCGGGGAGGCGAAGAGGGAGGAGGCGAGGGGGAGGAGGGGGACCCCCACCCCCCTCTGGCTGAGAGAAATCAGAACGGGAAGGGTTGAACAGCATTCAGCCTCCGGGGCCCCTCACTGGGCCCCGGGGGTTGTCAAAAAACATGAGTGCATGAAAACGGGAAAAAGGTCCAGATCTTCAGGGGAGCACGTTTGTGACAAGATCACGACGTCGGAGTTCTGGCGAGTTCTGTGGAGGGGAAGGAGGAGGAGGCGGAGGGGCGATGAGATGGACGTGGGGGCTTCGGCACCTCTGTGGAGGAGCAGAGACCACCCCCGCCGAGAGCCCATCGGGGGGTGGTGGCCGCAGCGCCGTACCGTGCTGGTGGGCGCTCGGGCGCGGCGTCGCCAGCCCCCCGTTCCCGACGGGTTCTTGGCGGCGGTGGTCCCCGCCTCTCCTCCGAGCTTCTTGGCCGAGCCCTCTCGAGACTCCCCCGTCTCTGGCCGCCTACGGGCCCACAGTGCCTGCAGAAGAACAGTGGGGACAACATGATGGGCATGGGCATGATGTGGCCAGTGGGGCTTCCTGATCATGACCTGCGGGGTCTCGCGGGCCCGAGAGGGATGGCCAGGGGTCGTGCAGCGGGCCCATGAGGACGAGGAGCGAGGCTCCAGGCTCGAGGTGCTTGAATGGTGGCTGCCCTTTATCCGGAACCTCCCAGACTCCTCGGGCAGGGAATGAGAAGGGGAGATGAAGAAGGAGAAAGGCTGTGTGTTTGTGTGTGGAGTTGTAGAAGAAACTGTTTGCATTGGAGGGCGGGAACAATCTCATACGCTCAGAGGGAAGATAACGGGGAGAAATCCACTTGCGATTGGCCCACCGTAACAGTGTGTCCACGGATGCTGTCGCCATTCGACTCAAAGCAGCGTCTGGCCTATCGGCGAAGCACCACCAGGGGAACCCCAGAGCGTGAAGCACAACTGCTTCTAACACGTCTAAAACACCGCGCAACTCGACCTGTCTCAGTCAAGCCCATGCACAGGACCGGGACTCGGACACAGTACAAGGACGATGCGAGGTGCAAGGCCATCATAAAGTCAACATTCATAGTAAGGATGCACCGTTCCTTGGAAGTCCCATTTACCATTGGCTCAGGATCTGCCGAAGACGCAGGGATGCAAGGGTAGCCTTGATGCAGCAGCGCATCCTGATGATGGATCTTGACTGTAGACACAGTGGCGCGAGATCTATCTTGGGAGCGGCCAAGAGGGGGGTGCCCAAGAGGGGGGGGGGCTGACTGGCGGCATGTGCGCGGCCCAGCGGGGGGGCCAGGGACGTAATGAAACAAGAAGAGGCGCCATGAAATATCATGGCCCCCGCCATGACATCCAACCCCCCCTAGTCATCACCCCCTCTTTTCCGCCCCCGACTACCACAAGAGAGGGGGGCAACGGGAACGACAGAGAAGACGGGCCGGGCACACGCGCCCCACGTCGTGTGACTTATCCACGGCGCGAGGGGGTGGGGGTCTCCTCTCCTCCCTGCCTGGCCGGCCGGGACGCCTCGGGCATCCCCCCTGGGGACGCCCGCGGCGAAGCAGCACCAAGGCTTCGGGGACCGACGACGACGTCCGCAAGCACCCACGCCTCGAATCACTCGCCGCCCCCCCCCTCCCCATCCCGATCCTCGAGGGCGAGGCAGGCGGGGAGGGAGGACCGGTGGGGTCGCATCCGCGTGGCGGCAAGGAGCGAGAACCCCCCTCCAGTCCAGGCTGCTGTGGGGGCCTGCCTCGGGCCCCCAGCGGCCGCTCGGAGCGATGCGGGCACCCCGGGACTTGCCGTCGCTCGGGCCTCCGTTCTCCGTGCGTGCTTCGTTCTCGCGCGTGTGTTCGCTGCTCGATGACCCCGGATGCTCCTCGACGGATCTCGCCGAGGAGCAAGTGCACACGCCCGAGCGATACCACGAGCACAGAATCCGACGGGGCGCGGCTACAACTGGAGAGCAGCAGCCCGGGGCGAGGCAGCTCCAGGAGCCCGCACGAACACGTCCTGCACCCCCCTGCAATCCTCGACTCCCGTGGAACGCCCCCGCTCCCCATCCGTTGTCCCTCTCCCTCCCGATCCCCGGCCCGCCTTTCGTCCTCGACCCCCGTAGGACGCCCCCGCTCCCCTCCGTTCCTCCCTCCCCCTCCCGATCCTCGGGGGGGGGGGGGGCAGGAAGACAAAGGGGGCGGGACTCGGCGAATCCGGCCGTGGCGACGAGGGGCGTTCTGGCGCGGTATGCTCTCCGCCTCCCCGCTCCATCCTCCCACCCCCTGCCCCCGCCCCTTTCCGCTCCTGCTGCTCGCCTGCCCCCCCCCCCACCCCCCTTCTCACCGCCCGAGAGGGGAGGGCCCTGGCAGGCGTGGGCATCAGAGTTCCATCAACATGCACAGCACATTTGCCATACGGTTGAGTGCAGTCTCTTTCTCTCTCGCTCTATCGTCCTTTGTTTCTTTGTCGGCTTGTTTGTGTTATGTTTTTTGTGTCACTCTCTCTCTCTCTCTTTCTCTCTCTATGTATAGATATCTGCGTATAGTTATATATACATGTGTGCATGTACTAGAACCACGAGCTCGTGGAGCGTCGTGGGCAGTCTCGGCGCCCTCTGGGGGGCCTCTTACTCTGTCTTGGGGATAGCAGATGTGCTTGTTGGGCTGCCTGGGGGCGTCGGCAAGGCGAAAAAGCGGAAGCACAAAACCATAGCAAACAGCTATGAACAAAAATCACCGATTGTTGGTTCTCGGTGCCCTCCTCGGGGGCGCCTTGGAACCCACTTGTGGTGTTTTGGAAACTTTGTAGGCGGTCTCGAAGCTTTCGTGGAGCGCCTTGGGATCCTTGTGGGCCACTTGGAAGGCGTGGTGCGCGTCTGGGAACGATTTGTTTAACGATTCGTGGCCAGTGTGGTCCGACCCGGAGATCTCTTGGGGAGTCTGTGGGGCCTCTTGGGCAATCTGGCGCCCTCGTGGGGGCCTCTCCGTGTTTCTGGGGCTGTTGTGGGGCGTCGGCAAGCTGAAAAGGCGGAAGCCCAAACTCGCAAATCAAATAGAACATCAATTCGTTTTGCATCTTGGGACCCTCTTCATTAGGGAGCCCACAAAGGACGTACGCGCACAGCTATGTATATGAACACGGCCCCTAGATCCGCGAGACTGGCCGCGTTATACGAACATTTGCGCAATGCGTACTCTCGAAACCAACAAGGATTCATGTACGTGTACGTCCTTCTGTCGCTCCTGATTCATGGTGTTTGAGAATCCTCTTCGAGCGCCTGGGGGGCGCTTTGGGCCGTCTGGAAGCCTTCGTGGAGCGCCCGGGGGGCGTCGTGGGGAATCTGGAGCCGATCACGGGTCGGTCTCGGGCACCCTTGAGGCCCCCGGATCCCCAATGCGCTGTCGAGCTGGCCCCCAGGCCTCGTAGACAGGCGTGTAGCTGTTTATCTCTCTCTCTCTCTCTTTTTTTTTCTCTCTCTCTCTCTCTATCGACCTCGCTCTATCTCTCTCTCTCTCTCTCTCTCTCTCCCTCTCTCATGTTTTGTTTGTTTCTCTCTCTCTCTCTCTCTCTATATATATATACAATACGAATATGCACACGTATATCCCGCACACGTATATCCATACCATAAGTATTCCTCTTCTGATATTTGTATTAGCCCGGGCGAGGGGACCCCCCCCCAAAAAAAAACGGACTCCCGGGACCTGGGGCTTTGGGACCCTCCGGACGGGCCTCAAAGCGGCCCCCCGGGCCACGCAGGGCGTTTTGCCAAGCGTTCCCAGCACACCTAGGGCGATCAGGGAGGTCATCGGAGACGTCCCAGAGAACCACGGGACAGCACAAGCGCGCTCCAAGAGTGACCGACGTGACCTCAAGATGGCCCAAGAAGCTCAAAAGCTTCCAAGAGCACTCCCAAGAAGGCCCAAAGAGGCAAAAATCATTGATTTTCGAATGGTTTCTGGTGAATTTTGGGGTTATCTTCTTTTCGACTTCCCGACGCTCCAATACGGCAGTCTTCTGGGCGTCCGAAGCCGCCTGGGAGGCTCCAAAATCGCCCCACAACCATCCGAAAGGGAATCCAGGCAGTCCAAGAGAGCCCCAAAACGGCACAGCAGGGGTCAAAGATGGCCCCAAGAGAGCCCCATGGCGGCCCAAGACGGCCCCAAGACACCCTCCGAAGCATTCCAAATCGTGACCCGGTCGTTCAGGGAGACCGCGGTTGGAGGAATGGTGGCCCGAGGAAGCCCTCAGAACCTCCAGAACACGCCCGGCAAGGTTCCAGAAGGCCTTGAGAAGGCCGGAAACTTTTGTGAGGCCCCCAAAGGCTCTCTAAGGAGGAGCCTCCGCAAAAAAAGCTGAGGAGGATGGGGAAAATGCGCAGGGTGTGGCGAGAACGAGGAAAAAGAAGCATGGAGGAAGGATAACAAATAACATCATGTTAGCGGCGATGCCGGAACAGGCAACAAGGAGTTGTCGCTAAACTGTCGGCTTGACCTTCCTGCCATTCCGCCTGCATACCAAACTTCAAGTACCTAGGTGCATGGCGCGAAGCACCACTGCAGTCTTGTGTGTATATATATATATATATATACAGAGATGTACAGATATATCACAACCTTTGGCACATTTCCAGCAGAAGCCTGGGAAGCAGCTATGCGGACGTATAAGCGGTCCAGCGCACGCTGGTGCCATCGCTCGTGCGCCTACGGGCACGCGGCTGCATGCATTCGTTCAGTCATTCATTCCTCCACCCCTCTCCCCTGTGATGACTTGTATCCTGCGCCATTATGTTGAATCGGCTCCCGAGCCCAAGCGAAGCCCACATAAGACCGATCGAAAAGTAGCGCCGCCATTCTGAAGCTCTCGTCGAGCCCTGGCTGCTGGCATGGGCTTCGATCCTCCAACGGGTGAAGAAAACAACAGAACAATAAGGGAAGAATATGCTGACCGCTCACCCTCGGGAAGCCCAAGGGTCCCCATACCGCCACTCCCCAGACCTCTCCCGGGATGCGTCCCGACCAGGATTCCGAGGCAAACCCAGCGGTGGCGACGAGGGCCTCCGAGGAGGCCCCAAAAAAAGGCGAAGACGAGGCGAGGGTAGCGGTACCCGTACCCGTTCCTCCTCTCCCCCCCCCCCCGGACCTCGACACAGAACACAAGCAGGGGAGGGGAAGCAGCTGCTGGGGCGGGGGCCCCGGGCGCCGACTGCGCGGCTGGTCGCCCGAAGGTCATCGCCAGCCTCGGGGGTGGCACTCCTCAACAGCTCCGCCCCCCTCCCGCGCTCTCCGTCCTCGGCCCTCGTCTCTCCTACACAATCCTCTCGCCTGCACACTCCTCCTGCTCCTCCGCTTCCCTCCGCCTACGCCTCTGCCTGCTCCTCCGTTGTCCTCCGCCTCCTTCTCTTCCTCCTCTCCTACACGCGCCTCCTTTTCCATTATCCTACTCCTCCTCCTCCCCCTCCCCCTCCCCCTCCCCCTCCCCCTCCTCCTCCTCCTCCTCCTCCTCCTCATCCTCCTCCTCCTCCTCCGGCTCCTCATCACCTACACGCGCCTCAATTTCCACTATCCTCCCTCTCCTCCTCCTTCTCCTCCTCCTCCTCCTCCACTCCTTCCCCCCCAACAAAAAAACTTCTCCCTCTCGCATCCCGAGGCAAGTTTTAGGTCGGGCTGGGCGTTTCGTCTGAGACTCCCTCACCACTTATGACCCTGAAGCTTACAAATTAGTAACAGCTTCACATGTGGGGGGCGAGTCGCCTTCAAAATGTGGCTCTCGCCTTAGCGCCGCGCACAGTCGTTCAAAACATTTGCAAGAGTTTCGCGGATGGAGGGCGGGTCGTTTTCAAACTGTGGTTCTCGCCGCGCTGCGCACATTTGTTTTTTGAAGTCAGGCAACAGCTTCACGGATGGAGGACGGTTCCTTTTCAACATGTGGCTCTCGCCCTAGCGCCGCGCACACTTTTGTTATCATTTGCACGAGCTTCACCCCATGAGCAAGGTACCAGAAATAGCGTTTCGGAAAGATTCAGGCGCCAGCGTTACGTTGTTTCGCGGTGTTGAAGTCCCAAGAATGGTATTCTGGCGCGATTCGGGATCGTCAAACGCAACTGTCAAGTTGATCCGTGGCGTTGGAATCCCGAGAACCAGTGTTTTGGCATGTGTCAGGGTCTTCAAACAGTTGTCTTCCAACGAGGCGACTCCATCAGTGGAAATGAACCGTTGTAGGCGCCTATGAAGAGGGAGCTGGGAGGGAGAACTTATTCCAACATCGTTGATGACTCTTGGGTTTACATAGGTGCTCCTCCTCCTCCTCCTCCTCGTGTTTCTATCCTCCTTATTCGTCCTCGTCCTCCTTGTCTCTCCTCCACAATCCTTCTCGTGCTCGTCAGACCCGTCATCCCGTACCTTCTCCTGTCCCTCATTGTCCGCCCTTCTGCCTCTTCTACTTCTGAACGGAAACGGAGCCCGTCGCTCATCCACGCGCCCTAACCCATGATTGCGCTTCATCGATCTGGATCTACCTTCGCCTCTTCATTACACTCCCCCTCGTCCTTGTCTCCTGCCATCGGTCGGACGTCCAATCACCGTGTATGGTTTCGCTTCGTGCGAGTATTCCCAAGATGATCCAAGATGCTCCTCGATGGTCCTCGCCGAAAAAATCCTTGCGTCCGAGAGATGTCAAGCTCTAGAGATACGAAGAAGGCAAGCACACCTTTTCTCGGAGTTGCGCTCCGATTTCTTGGAGCGGCGTTGTACCCTGCCTGGCGCTCAGAGCGCGCCAGGGGCGGCGTCAGAGGCGCCGCCAGGGGGGTCCAGCGTAAATCCAAGACATCCGCGCGGAGCATCGGACATACGCTTGTGCTCTTCTTCTTCTTCTTCTTCTTCTTCTTGATCCTCCTCCCCGCAGGCCTTGCGCCCGCGAGGTCGAGGACGGCGAGGCGGGTGGAGCAGCCGCAGAATGCACGCGCAAGGGCGGCTCAGCGGCAGCGGCGCCACCCAAAGGGGCCGACTGTGGGGCAGCAGTCGCGCCCCAGGGGGGGGGAAGGCAGAGGCAGAGGGGGCGGGCACTCGCCGAAGGTTGAGAAAACCTCGGGCCTTCTGAATGGCGTTCTGAGCCTTCCACGGGAGGCTTCCGAGAAGCCCCGCCGCTGTCTGCACCGGGGGCAAGTACAGGACGGGTAAAGGCAGCGGTGGGGGCTGGAGGAACGTCGCTCAAAAACGGCTCCTGGAAGAGGACAGTGCGAGCATCCAGCCGAGTCCGTTCCCGAACTCCACCTTGAGAGAACCCCGTCCTACGTGCCCTGGACTGAGACGGCCTGCTTCCTCTCACCTCCCCCCATGGGCGAGCCGCCCGGCCGGGGCGATGGGCGCGCGGCCTGGTGACGGAGGAGTCCGTCAGCACCTGCCCGTCCCTCCAGTCCACTCGGGCCGCACGCAGGAGTCGGGGGTGCCAGCGCAGTGGGGGGGGGTCTGCCTCTGGACCTCTGCTTAACGCCACTGTTTGCAACAGTGCGTCCTATGGGGGGGACCCCGCCTGCTCGAAACAGGCGCCACAGACAGCCAAGATCTACTCCATAAGGGGGGGGGAGGTGGGGTGCGAGGGCCCGCGCCGATAGGCAAAACCATGAATAAGAAAACGAACGCTATTGAGTCGGTGCGTTTCGGGCTCCCCTCACACATGCCGATTTTGAGACGCAGGCGCTCCCAGGTCTGCACCCGGCGCTCCCAGACGCGCTGACGCTTGGACCACAAACGGTTCTCACAACAACGGGGCGTCGCTTTGCCGGCGCCGCGCACACTCGTTGTACACAACCAAAGAAAAGATAAGAGGGCGGGTCGTTGGCAAACCGGGGCTCCCGCCCGGGCTCCGTGCTCACTCGCGGCTTCCAGGTTGTCCGGAGGTGCGCGTGTGGATGGTGAGTCCTTTCCCACACGGTGGCGGCATTGGACAAGGAACCCTTGGATCAGCCGCCCTCTTTTGATGTATCAAAAGGGTGCATGGCAAGCCGACCAATATGGCTTTTGGTTTTGGTTCTTCTTCCAAAAGAACTCGCCCTGGGGCTCCGGCGCGCCCCGCCGGCCATCCGGAAGACCTGATTGCAAACGGTTTTCCTGCCCCAGACGGCCCCAAGATGGCCTCCAAGACGGCCAAGATGTCCCAGGATGGCCCTAAGATGGCCCACGACGGCCAAGATGGCCTCAGAGACGGCTAAGATGGCTCCAAGATGCACCCAAGACGGCCCAAGATGGCCTCAAGATGGTCTAAGACGGTCGAAAAGGCCCGCAACAAGCCTTCAAGACGGCCCAAGAGGTCTCCAAGAGGTCCTCCAGGAAGGCCCGACGAGGCCAAAATCATTGATTTTCGTAAGGTTTTTGAAGGATTATGGCATTTGCGCCTCTTCGGCTTTCCGACGGCCCAAGACGGCCCAAAAGGCTCCCAAGATCGCCAAAGAGGCCCCCAAGAGGGCCCCATGACGGCCCAAGTGGCCTCCAAGACGGCCCAAAGAGGGCCCCAAGACGGCCCAAGAGGCCTCCAACACGCCCAAGATGGCCTCCAAGACGCCCAAGATGGCCTCCAAGACGGCCCCGAAGCGCCCCAAGAGGCCCCAAGTCGGCCCAGAAAGGCCCCCAAGACGGCTCCCGACGGCGTCAGACGTGCCAGGAACCCACCAAGATGGCCAAAGTTGGCTCGAAGCTGGCCCAAGACGGCCCAAGAGGCCCCCAAGAGGGCCTCCAGGAAGGCCAGAAGAGGCCAAAAACTTTGATTTGCCTAAGGTTTGGACGGATATTGGCATTTGCTTCTTTTCGGCCTTCCGACGGCCCGAGACGGCCCAAGAGCCCCCAAAGATCACCGAAAGATCGCCCAAGAGGCCTCCAAGATGACCCCAGAACGGCCCAAGAGGGCCCCAAGAGGCCCCCAAGATGGCACATGAGGCCTGTAAGACGCCCAAGATGGCCTCCAAGACGGCCCTGGAGTATTCCAAGAGGGCCCCAAGTCGGCCTATAGAGGCCCCCCAAACGGCTTCCGGCGGCGTCAGACGGACCAGGAGCCCACCAAGACGGCCGAGCATGGCCCTAAGATGGCTCACGACGGCCAAGATGGCCTCAGAGACGGCTAAGATGGCTCCAAGATGCACCCAAGACGGCCCAAGATGGCCTCAAGATGGTCCAAGAGGCTTGCAAGAGGCCTCCAAGACGGCCCAAGAGGCCTCCAAGAGGGCCTCCAGGAAGGCCCGAAAAGGCCAAAATCATTAATTTCCCTTGGGTTTTTGAAGGATTGTGGCATTTGTGTTTTTTTCTGCCTTCCGACGGCCCGAGACGGCCCAAGTGCCTCCAAAGATCGCCCAAGAGGCGCAAGACACGGCCCCAAGAGCCCCCCAAGACGGCCCAAGAGGTCTCCAAGACGCTCAAGATGGCCTCCAAGACGGCCCAAGAGCCCTCCAAGACGTCCTCCAAGAAGGCCCGAAAGGGTCAAAATGGCCTCCAGACGGCCAAGATGACCTTCAAGATGCCCACGTGTTCCCCGAAGGCTTTCCAAACCGATTCGGGGAACACATGGTCCGATAGCTTGGCAGGTCTGGCCTCAACGTTCGGCCACATAGGCGCTTCCAAAAAGGCAAGGGGCGGCGGTGATTCGCCGTAGGCGTCTTCGATACGGAACTCAGGGTCTGGAAGCTGGTGGAACTCCATTCGTGGGTCGGCCATGGATATCAACACCGCCCTCATCAGATACGACATCCTTCAGCGTCTGCAGCCTCCTGGGCACATTCCTCCCCGAACGCCACCACAGTTTTGGGGTCTCCCCGGTTTGCCTTCGGACTCGCGCGCAATACAAAATCCACCATCTACTCTCACGTGACCCTTCCTCGACCTCTACGGCCCAGCGCTCCATATTGTGCAGCAACCGACGCGGTAGACGGCGGCTCCTCTTTAGCAACAAGGCTCTCGCGTGAGACTTTCGCGATGCATACTTCATATGCCTTATTAATCGTCCCCCGGGTCCGGTTCTTTCAGGCGCTTTTTTCATAACGGGGGGGGTCAAATTTATTAGGGCGCTTTCTGTGAATTGGAGCTTAAGGGGGTCCGGTTTAAGACGCCTTTTGGATATCGTTGCTCAGCCCTTTGATAAGCACAATTGCGATCAGCCTCGTGAACATCAGCATTATGATTACGAAAGGTCTTCTGGGACTCGCTGCTGTGAATGCAGATCAGCATCATGATCACCACCACCATTATCATAGTCATCACCGTTATCATCATCATCATCATCATCATCATCATCATCATCATCACCATCACCATCACCATCACCATCACCATCACCATCATCATCATCATCATCATCATCATCATCATCATCATCACCATCACCATCACCATCACCATCATCATCATCATCATCATCATCATCATCATCATCATCATCATCATCATCAACATAGACATGAACATCAACAGCATCATCATCCTTTTCCACATGATCATCACTGGCATCAGCAATGGCGGCGACAGCACTGCAGTGGCGATGTGCATCGCGACGGCAACGGCCTGATCTTATGGCTCGCGCCTCTTGCGAAAACGCAATATTATGTGTAAATGCCCCTCGAGTCTCCGTGAAGCCCGCCTTCAAGGCCGCTCTCCTCGAACGGAAAGATACCCCCTTACTGTTGCGCCAAATGTTTGTATGTATGTCTGGCCAATCTTCGCGTCCCGGCCTCCCGCGTGAAGACGATGACCGTTCACCCGCGGATCTCGTTCTCCTCGCGACAGTTTGTTTTGCACTGGTGTCAACACATCCACTGGCGTGCCCGCGCCGATGATGTTATTGTGCTGAAGGGGTCCAGAATATCAAGGCACCCTGTCGAAGAAGGGGGTCTGGAATATTAGGTCGCATTCTGAGGGGGTCTGTTTTTTGGGGGGTCGATTGATAAGGCATATGGAGTACGTCCACGACCTTGATATCCTGCAATGCTCAAGCAGATGGAGAACATGTCCGTTTCAAAATGAAGCTATCCTGGGGCCTCCTTCAAGGGCTCTCGTGTGGGACTTTCGTGGAACATACGTCCACGACCTTTTGACATCGTGAAACGCTCAGACGGATAGAGGGCATGTGCTTCTCAAAATGGGGGCTACAATGGGCGTCCTTGAAGTGGAGGGGAGATCCTTTACAACAGGCGCGCTTGTCTGACTGGCGGACCGACAGGCCGTTCATCATTCGAGGGGGGGCACCTGCAGTGGAAAGGACGACTTGTACCTACTTCCGAGGAGGAGACTTGGGACGGGAAGGTGTATTGCAGCATCGCTTGACGCATCTTGGGTTTACTCTGATCCTCCTCCTCCTCCTCCTCCTCCTCCTCCCCCTCCTCCTCTTGCTCATTCTCTTCCTCGTCTTCCAACCGCGTCCTCATCCTCCCCCATTCCTCGTCATCACTCCTTTGCACCCTTCTTCAACGCCCTGCTCGTTCTCCTCCTGCTCTTTCTCTTCTCGCCCTCATCCCTAAACGGACGTCCAGCGGCAGGGCAGAACTCCTGGAGTCTCCCCGCTTGGCGTCCTGTAAACCTTTCCCTCTTCTCCGCGCACCCCTTCCCCATCTCATTCTCTTCGTCCTCCTCCTTTTCCACCTCCTCCTGCTGCTCTCACTCTTCCTCCTCTGCCTCCTCCTTCTCCCCCGGCTCACCCTCCCGCTCGCCCAAAATCAATCCCTGGACCCCCCCCCAGGATCCACCCTGGTCGTTCTAGTTCGCGTGGACTGGCTTCGGACGGTCCCTTGGGGGCCCGAATGACGGCAGGGATTACGAACAGCCTCTCGCAGCCCCTACTTGGCATGATCGGAACAGGGCCCTGAATCGGAAGCTGGGCAAGGGCTGCTAGATCCGTGGCTGCTAAAATCGACTTCCGGGAAGTTGTCTTCGTCCTTCCGGGAAGAAGCCCGTTGACTGCTTGACTGCTTCGCGTGCCGCGCCTCATTCCGGAAAGTTGCTTTTCCTTCCTGGAGGGCAGTTTTAGCAGCCACGGTTTTAGCAGCCCTCGCCCAGCTTTCGACTGAAGGACACCGGTCCTGCCTCCTGCAGCTTCTGCCCGGGGCCAGCTCTTCTCATCCCGAGCAGTTGTTGGGGAAGCCCCTGGGCTCGTGGAGAGCCCGGGGTGACCAACGAAAAGCAGCGGACTACCTGCTCCCCTTCCACCCAGGCCCCCGACGTCATGATGTCTGCCATAACGTCGACCTTTCGAGGTCGCGACCCCTTCCCCTGGACCGGTGTTCCATTCCGAGTCGCTTTGTTGACGGGCTCGAGGGCCGGTGAGGGCCTCCAGAGGCCCAAAATTAGGAAACATCTACCGTCATGATTCTTGCATTGCCCGGAGGGGTCTGGGGATCCAGCTTCGCTCTCGGCGATCCCCGCCCCGAAGCCCCGCCTCCACCATGTGGCCCACGGCCCTGGCCCCGTTGACGGACAGCAGCCTGTCCCCGGGGCGCACCACGGGGAGGCGCTCGCCAGACCTGGTCGGGCGCCGGAGTGGAAGGGGGGGAGGGAGGAAGGGGGGGGGACCCGCGGGCCAGCGGTGAAGTCTCCCACTTCACGGCACCACGCCCGCCAGGGCGCTCCCGAGCACAACTGCGGCGCGCAGAAGCAGCTGCCATGGCGCACCCCTGGAGCGCCCGGGCGTACTTGCCAGGGCGCCCCACGGGCTGGCAGCACTGCCCGAGTGTGGTTCTAGGCCCGCGCTTGCCGGGACGTTTTTGGTTGGCGCGCCCGTTTTTGGTTGGCGCGCCCTTGGCGTGCTCGGAGGCAACTGTTTGGACTCGTCTCGTCCTCGGCGGAGGTGTGGGGGGAGAAACGGAGCGGGGCCGCCAGGGCTGAGCTTCAATGAGGTCGGCTGAATGTCCTTGGGAACACCAGCGCGCGCCCCGCGCGCACAGGTCGCATGCGCGCAAATGGGGCACACACGGTTCCCTTTTTCCCCAGGGCAGGGACGGAACGAGGGTGCACGAAAAATGCCAAATACGAAACGAAAGGGGCAGGTGGTTCCGATTCCTCCTTCGTCGTCGGCCCCCTGCTCCTCCGCTTTTTGCTCCTCCCCCTCCGTACCTTCCTCCTTCCCAGCATTCCGTCCCGTGTTCCTGCCGCTGCCCCTGCCCCTGGGGAAAGAGGAGAACGGGATAGGAGAACACCGACGACGACGAAAACAACAAACATGAACGCCCTGACCAGCTGGCAAGTCCGAAGCGCAAAGAAAAGCGAAGGCGGGAGAGATCGGGAGCGGCCCAGAGGGGGGTGTCCAAAAGGGGGGGGTGCAAATCATGACCAGCGGCATGTGCGCGGCCCAGCGGGGGGGGGCCAGGGACGTAGGGAAACAAGGAGAGACGCCATGAAATCTGGGGACAGATCATGGCCCGCGCCATGATATCCACCCCCCCTAGTCATCACCCCCTCTTTCCGCCCCCGAAGAGAGGGCCCTCCTCTCTCCGATACCAGTGGCCTCGGGCGCGGCCGAACGGTGGATCATGAGCGGGGGCCGCCGGCGACCTTTCGACCGCCGCGTTGCGCGCGCCCACGAGGCCGTCGGAGGTCACCTCGGTCACCTCGGGGCGTGAGAAAAACGAGCAACGTCGTATCGGGAATTCGGATCGGGCTGTCGCGGCGCAGTATCGACATCAAATCGGATGGGACGCGCCAGGATGCACCACCGCGCCGTGCACACATCGGGCCGCGTCGGGTCGTCGGAACACCACTCGAATCGGACCTGAACCAGTATCGAATCGGATCAATCTGATCCGCAAGGGCCCCGCGGGACGTGACGTGCGCGGATCCTCCTCCACCTCCTGCAGGTGCCGCCCCTCTTCCTCATTCCTCCTCGTCCGCCTGCTCATCCTCCCGTTTTTCCTTCCTCCTCCCCCTCCTCCGCCATCTCGGCGCGGCGAAGCACGATCTGTGCCACGAGCCGCCATCTGCCCCGCGGGCGGCTGCAGGATGGCGCGGGGCAGCACGACGGCAGTGCCGCCCCCCCCCCAGCTCCTGCCCAAGCTCCTCGTGTGCCTGCTCCGCCCCCCTCCTCCTTTTCAATCCTCCAGCGGCCATTCCCCAGGCCCTCTTCGCCTCCCTCCCGCCGCTCCCTGTCCTTATACATAGCTCGCCCATGTCGCACCCCGAGACGCGTTGGTAGGACGGGCCGGGCGTTTCGCTGGAGACTTCCTCACCATTGCTGGCCCTTGAATCTGAGAGCTTGCAAGAGTTTCACGGATTGAGGGCGGCCCGCTTTCAAAGTGTAGATTTCGCCTGAGCGCCGACCACATTGGTCTTAACCATTTGCAAGAATTTCACGGATAGAGGGCGGGCCGCTTTCAACATGTGGTTTTCGCCTCGCAGCAATTTCACAGATGGAGGGCGGCTCCTTTTCAATGTGGTTTTCGCTGTAGCGCCCTGCCAATTCGCTTGAAGCACTTACAGCAGTTTGAAAGACTTCCACGGTTGCCTTCCCAGGAACGGCGTCTGGCAAGATGTCGGACTGTCAGGGCGCAAGGGTTGCGTCGATTCGCGGAGTTGTAGTCCCAGAAATGGTGCTCTGGCACGATTCAGGGCCGTCAAGACGCAGAAATACCGGTAATTCGCGGCGCTAGAGTCCCGAGAACGCTGTTGTAGCACAACTGAGGAATTTCAAACGGTCATCTTCCAATGGGACACTTCCCTCAATGAAAACGAACCCGTCTGGGGGGGTGTAAAGAGGGAGCTTGAAAGGACGTTGAAGGGCCGTGGTTGATTGCAATATCGTTGATGAGTATTGGGTTTACGCCGGTCTGCCCTCCTCCTCCTCCTCCTCCTCCTCCTCCTCCTCCTCAGGGATCTCTTCGAGCTGGTTGTGGTGCACGACGAGAGTTCGGGGGGAAGGAAACAAGCAGGCAGTGACTTTCCCTGTGACCACGTACCGTTCCCCTCGACAACTCAGCCTTGCGCCTCAGTCGCGTGCTGGACCTCCTCCTCCTCCTCTTCCTCCTCTCCTCCTCCTCCTGCTGCTGCTGCTCCTCCTCCTCCTCCTCCTCCTCCCCCTCCCTCCCTCCTCCTCCTCCTCCTCCTCCTCCTCCTCCTCCTCCTCCTCCTCCTCCTCCTCCCACTCGCAGATCCCACACGTGTGCGCAGCGTGCTGAGTACGGCTGCGGTGCCCCCTCGCAGAGGTCGGGCGGCGCACTCGCAGCCAGTGGAGCGTCCACGGCCCTCCACCCCACCACGCCGCAGCGCCCTCCTCCGCGGCGGCCGCTGCCGAGAGCCGGGCGCCCGCCGAGTTGCCACGCTCGCCAGAGGCTGCCGAGGGCCCGCTGTTGGACCCCGCGCCGCAGCGGCAGCGGCGCCCACGCCACCCACCTCACCATCTCTTCGCCGAAGACTGACGAACGTCTGCCCGCGCCAACCCATCAGGGCCTGAGCCCGAGGCGGAGCCCAGTCGAAGGGAGGAGACTTTTCCCTGAGCACGCATCAGGGTCACGCTCGTCGAGCCCAAGGCTGCCTACACCTGCTGTCGCTGGCAGCCACGGCCCTCGCACGATAAATCCCACCAGCCCTCTGGGCGAAAGGTGTTCTACGTAAGGAGGGTGGGTCTCTTTCCTCTTCCACAACCCCTCTTCCCTTCGAGGAGGGGAACCCTCCCCCTCCCTCCCCGGGTTCTTTTGAAGGGTCGCGAAGTGTCGGAGGCTCGTTTTCCCGTCAGTGGGAGGGGCAATTGTTGACACCCCTCACGAGGATCGTGGCCCCCGATGGTGGGGGCAGACATCGAGGATCCCCCTTCTTTTGACTGACCGCCTCTAAGATGGTCCCACGAGGCCACCAAGAGGCCTCCAAGAGGCACCCGAGAGGCCCCCAAGAGGCCTCCAGGCGGCCCCCACGAGGCTCAAGAACCCCCCCCAAGGCACGCAAGACTCCGTCTCGTCCCGTCCTCCTACTCCTCCTCCCCCTCCTTGTTCTGCTCCTCCTCCTCCTTGTCCTCCTCCTCCTCCGCCTCCTCCTCCTCCTCCTCCTCCTCATCCTCCCCCCCTCCCCCTCCCCCTCCCCCTCCCCTTTCTCCTTCTCCACCTCCTCCTTCTCCTCCTCCACCTCCTCCTCCTCCTCACTCTCTTAGTCCTCGTCCTCCTCATCCTCGTCCTACTCCTCTTCGTCTTGCTCCTCTTGCCTCCTGCCTCCTCCTCCTCCTTCTCCTCCTCCTTTTCGCCACCCCCCCAAACAGCCCAGGAGATGGCCCCAACACGCCGTCCAGGCTGGCCCCTCTCGCTGTCGGACTATGCGTACCTCTTCCTTTCTTCTCCCGTCAGCTCGCATGAAGACCGTTTCTCGATGGGCTGGCGGGCACACGCGAAGCGTCAAGAATTTCAGAAATCGATGTGCTGCACGGGGGCATGCCGATCTGCTTGTCTACGGTGCGTGCAGACAAAACACCTCCTCAGAGCCTAGATTGGAACGGGAAGAGGGCTCACCCAGCCACTCTGCAACCCTGTCGAGTTTCCTGTCAAACTCTGCTTCGTGGAGTCCACAAATGAAACACCGCAGTGAAGCAGATGCTGCGGCCCTGGCTTGAAAAGTCTTTGAAACAATTCGCGAACACTAGCTCGGCTGCTGAAAACGTCGTAGAGGCAACATACCTAGAGAAACACGAACATGGCTACAACCTCACGCCTACATCAGGCTACCGCGTAGAGATCCTTGGTACCCAATTCCAGCAATGTGGAAAAGGCCTTGGAGAAGTCCTGGAAGAACACCTTCTGGTCGTCCGCGTAGAGGTCGACATACTTCTTGAAGCTCGGATCCTTCAGGAGCGCAATGTCCGTTGGAAGCATCATGAACTGCTGCGACGCGGCGTCGCGGTACTGGGGGTTCTTGCAGGTCTCCCCTTTGATGCACCCCTCTTCCCAGTCAGAGTTCTTGAGGAGCTTGAAATACAAATTGTTGAACGTCGTGGGTGTCGGAGTCCACGGGCCCACGAAGCCCGAGGCGTCCGCGTGGCAGCGCCCGAGCGCATGAGCGCCGCTGAGGGCGACAATTTCCTGGTCGTTGAACCCCATGTGTGGAGAACCCCCAAAAATGCATCGGCGCAAAACGTTCGGTGGTCCACACGGATCTCTTGTGATGTCGGAAGGAAGGGGGGGTCGTAAAAAGAGTGGGGTCAGCGAATCCGCTGACGTGTCTGGTTTCCCTGATGCCTCCCGACGCTGGGGGCGCACATGTATCGAGGAAAGCGCCCAGCGTCAGAGCCGAAACCAGCTGCATGCGGCAGAAACCGTTCCCACCCCTTTTCCACACCCCCGCATTCCGTCCGACTCAGTCTTGGGTCGGCACCAGGCCCCCCTCCGCACACCTCCTCCCGCGCGCTTGGAGAGCACTGGGGGGCGGCGCCGCAGGCGCCGCCAAGGGAGGGGGGTCCATATGGGCCCAGCGACGACGCACGACATCCACGAGTCCCCGAATGTTTCAGGTCCGCGCCTTTTTTAGCTCTCCGATGCGGGAGAAGACGCCCCTCAGGTGGCCGACGTCCTTCTCGACGGAGCCGTTGGCGGCGTTCGGCAACCGGCCGTCGGGGGTGACGTCGCTGGGGCTCGTGGAGTCGACGCGCCCGGCACGCCAGGGGACCTCCGGACCCCCGAGGGTCTTGATGGCAACGACGCCGCCGAGCGTGTACAGGTCCGCGTAGCTGATGCTGGGGTTCGACTGCTTCACGGGCTCGAGCCACGCGACCGCCTTGTCGAGCCCCGCGTTCCCGCCTCGGGCTGCACGTGGCAGCGCAGCCCCGGGCAAGAGGTGGCCTCCGGCGCGCAGCCTGCCGAGCGCTGCAGGCGGTGCGGTAGTGGCGGCCTGCGGTCTTGGGGCTCGGCCACTCGGGGCTCTGGCGGCCGCTCGGGACGATCCGGGCACAGCGCGACGCGCTCTCGGCGGGGCGCAGCCGCTGGAACGCGTCCCGAGGCAGAAGAACCTCCCAGAGCAAACGAAAACGAACACGTCCCGGAAGCCTCTCTGGCGAAGGGCAACTCCGAGACATGCGACTCTATGCTTTGTCCCTATCTGCGCCCCAAGAGCTCCCCAGCCCTGTCCTGAGGGTAGTTCTTGTTGCCCTGGGTCCCATGACGTGTCCCAGTGGCCAATATCGGGGAAAAAAGCCCGGATCGAACATATCGGATCGTTGGGCATCTGGGCTCTCGCGTGTAGCCGACCACCATGCGCGAGCTCCTCCTTGAAGCGGATGGTCCCCGGGCCGGAACCCCCCGTCTTCGAGACCTTGTCGTAGCTGCCGCACGAGTGCCACGCCAGCCTGACCAGCGTCGGGCCTTTGTTCGCGTCGGCCTTGATGAGCTGCGCGATCTCAGCCTCTGAGGGGCGGGGGTTTGTCCATCAGCAGTCTGGGGGATAGACATTCGGGGACCTCGGCGGGCGGTGGAAACTTACATAATCTAACCCATGGGAGCCGCAAATATGATAGACATTCGGGGACCTCGGCGGGCGGTGGAAATTTACATAATCTAACCCATGGGAGCCGCATATATATATATATATATATATATGTGAATATATATGTATATATATATATATATATATATACACACATCCACCGCCTGCCGAGGTCCGTGAAGATCGATCCCCCAGGCGGTGGATCTGGATAGATCACCGCTTGAGCAGGGACCCACCGTCCCCACATGCCTATAGCCTTTAGGCCTACCCCGAGATGCATTCAGACCAAAACATGTTCTCTTAACAGAAACCATGGTCGTAGAACATGAAGCCGATGGAGTACAACAAGCTTGTCTCAGCCAAAAATGCCTACGACCCTTTCGTGGAAACATCATAAGGCTCTTACAATATTAATTGGTGGGCCTATAAGCAAGTCAGAGCGCTTCACCACTCACGACCGGCGACTACATCCGTAGCCGCGCCCTCATGGTCTTAACTGCGGGGCGCGAGGCCGCGGATACCCGGTCGCACGGTTGTTGCTGCGCGGGGCATCCGCGACAAAAACGGCCCGGATCTGCTGGGTCGCGGCCCAGGGGCCCCGCCCGCGAGGCCGCGGATACGGATCTGCTTTGCGCCCACGGGCCCCACAACTTGAACCGCCTCGCAGCCTTGGCCTTCTCCATGGCCGGCGCCGTGAGCTTCTCCGCGGCGGCCGCCGGCTTCGCCACGGCTGCCACCGCGGCAGGGGCCAAGCCCGCGAGCACGCCGCCGCGCCGGCCGATTGCAGCCCGCCGGACCTTCGACCTCGCGCCCTTCGGACGGATCGCGGCGGCGGTCGACAGCGCCGCCAGAGCTGCCGCTGCCACTGGCACCGTCGGCTGTGAGCCTCCGAAGGTAGCGGCCTCCCGGACGGCGCCCGGGTAGATGGGGTCGGAGGATAGTGCTGTATCGCCGACGCATCGGCGCCGTCGGCGTGGAGAAAATCGGGTTCCACATCGAACCACATCGCCGATATCGTCGAAGCGGCGCGATCCTCCGACCCCATCGACTCGGACCCCGTCTGAAGGCATGGAAAGGATGAAAACAATGCGTCAACGTTCAATGTTGCGGGGGTCCGCGCGGACTTCTTGGGTCGGCGCTTGACCCCAGCCCCCGTTCTGGCGCGCGGAGCGCGCCAGGAGGCTGCGCCAGAGGCGCCGCCAGGGACGCTCAGGCGCAGATCCAAAAAATCCACGGAGGCGTCCGAGAATTCGAGAATGTAGTGACGACTTGCGCGTTGGCTTCTGACACCGCGAGGATCGGTCAACCTTGGGCGATCAAGGCTCTCGGTAGCTCAGATGGTTCGAACTTGGTCGGTTGTGGGTCAACGGCGACGCTCATCCTTGACAACCCGCGTTGGCGTCGCCGTTGCGTCGGCAAGACGCGACCCCAGAAATCCGACGTCACGACTGGTTTGGGCCTCCAGGCAATCCCAACCTTCTTCGCCGACTCTGCCTTTTATACGTGAGCTTTTTTCGAAGCCCCAGGGCCTGGCGAGGGCTCCGAAATACCGAAAACTAAGAACATCTTACGTCCTGATTTTCCCAGGCATCGGATGCCTTGGCACCCTTTTTTTGTGTTGCTTCGCGTCCTGGGTGCGCCGAAGCACCGCCGCGGCAGCTCAGGGATGACCCCGGGCCTGCCTGGGCCAGGCGGGCCGGTGCTTGCTGCGAGGGCGGCGGCGCGGAGAACGCGACGAAGGCCATCGTCGCAGGGGGGCTGATCGGGTCGGGGCCAAAAGGAAACCGAAAGGCTTGAGCCGCAATGGAAGGAGGAGGAGGAGGAGGAGGAGGAGGAGGAGGAGGAGGAGGAGGAGGAAGAGGAGGAAAAGGAACAGAGGAATAAAAACAGAGAAACAATTCTTTTGTTTCCTCCGAGGGGGGACTTACATTGTGATGAAAACGTGCACCTCTTTTTCACGCGCGGCCACCCGTCGGCGGATCGCTTCGGGTTTTCCCGTCCTGGGCTCCTGCAGGAGAGCCGCGCGCTGGCGGGGCCGCTGGGCGTTCAGCAACCTCGCGCGCTCCACCTCCCGTGCGATGCGAAACGCAAAGCCTGGAGCTCGATTCGACTGCGGGTGCAAGCCGCGAAGCATCCGACCGAGATGGTAGCGGGAAACAGACGACACGGCGCAGGGCCCCAGCATTGTTTCTTTCGAGAAGCCCACTGCAGGGATCTGTGCTGCACGCTTCACTGCGGCGGCGAAGCACTAGGGAGGGACCAGACGACGAGCGCCCGAACACCAAGTCATGCCCTTTCGCTTCTGCATCGCCCAAGACATGAAAGCTAGCCCGGCTCCCAGTGCATCCTGACATGTCCAAGCGTGCTGCGCAGATATTCGTGACGCGAGTGTGACACTCGGGACATATGGAATTAATTACCCGGGGCGCCAAGCGCGCCCGGCCACGCGTGCCACCGCGCCACTCCAACGCGTCTGGGCTTAAGGGCCCTGGGCCTGCGAAGGAACTGGGCGACGGGGGCAGGCGGCCAAACTGCCCCCATCACCCGCGCTTTCACAAGCAACGACTCCAAGGCAGCCAGGCCCGAGGGGCCCCCCGGATCATGCATCAACAGGGCATCCTTGGTACACTTGCCAACTAAGAAGTTCGCACGTGCAATGTGGCGCTCAAGATGAACACGGAGCACAAAGCGAATCTCGAAGCTATGGCAGTCTTGAATAAAAAGATGCGCCACGCCTACATGCCGAATGCCTTCGCGCCAGAGAAAGCCTTGCCTGTAACAGGCCCGTTACCTGCTGGGGGGGCGTCTGAGTGCGGAGCTGCGCCACCCCAAGGCAATGCGCATGCTGCCTGAGAAGGTAAGCTAACGCGTAGACCGTTATCTGCTCTGCCGCCTGCAGGGTCCGTGGAAGGTCGGGTCGAGCTGACCCGAGGAAAATTCGGCCACGACCTCCTCCGAAGGCAGCCCAGCAGAAACTCCCGCGTATAAGGCCCTTCGCAGTTCGCGACGTCGACGGCCGAGCGCGCGACGCGCCCGCGACAACCTCCTCCACCCAGTCGAAAACCGAATGCTCCTTGAGGACTTGTACTGCAAGGTCAGGAAACTGACGATGAAGCCGGAGTGCGCGCGCATGGCGCAGCTCCAGAAGAGGGAATCCATTCCGGCCTCGATCGCCTCATGGGTTACCTCGGGGCCAGCAATTTCTTCCACGACTTGGCCTACCCCGCTACGTCATCATCATCGGGACGGTGGCGGAGCCCATCGCGCGCTACGCACATCCAGCATTGGGCGCCGACCTCCCCCCCCCCTGGATCTGGAGAGAGGCCTAGCCGCTCAAACCGGAGCATGCGAAATCTGCGGAATTGTGAAATGCGTTGATTATGCCGCTGAATGCATCGTATTCTCGGGCCCCCTTGGGGGCCGCATCGAATCCACAGATTGCCATATTCTGTTGATTCGGGACACGTGCCCGACGCACTGAAAATCCACGCAAACAAATCTGCGCACGTGAAACGGGGCCACGGGATCCGAATCGCCAGGGGGGCGGCTATCATCCACACGTTGAAGGACAGTCTGTGGACCCACGACGGAGTCCCAATTTGCAGATTAACAGCAAAAGTTCTGTGGATTTACGACTCGTACACGACGCAGGCCTGATCCACATAATTTCAGAACCTGCGGATTTGGAACAGGTCGGGGCCTGGGGGATAGCGAATGACGAGGGCGCCCACAACGCGCACAATTGCATTTTCTGCGTCCAAGATGGCGCTTGTTTTGCGCGTCTCCAGAATGACAGGATTTCAGGCCCCCACCAGCATCCCAATCGGGCACCGACCGCCCGCATTGAAACCTAAGATACGCAACCGATCGCGAATGAAAACCGCTGTCGCGCAACATGGCTCGCGTAATTCCGCCGAACCGCGAACTTCTCACACTCGGCCCTCGCCCCAGAGGAACCCGCGAGGCGCCGTGGGCCCAAATTGACGAATCAACCAGGATTCCCAGCGCGCCCACGGGCATTCCCAGCATCTTGCCTCATGACTTTCCGGGGCCCGAGAGGGCCTCGGGGCGAGACAAGAGGACCCAGGGGGGCCCTCAACGCGGTCCAAGATGGCCCAGAGACGCCCGACAATCGCCACCAGACACCCCACGGGCCCCAAGAGGCCTCCAAGACGCCCCTACGCAAGCCATTAAAAAGCCTCCACGAGGGCCCCAGGAGGCGGAGATCACCGCTTGCCTATTGTTCGTTCGTGCAGAAAGATTTCAACGTTCTCGCCATTTTCGGCCCCGGCGCTGCAGATCGGCCCAAGGGGCCCAGGACCGCCCCAACGCGGCCCAGACGGCCCCCGCGAAGGCCCCGAGACGGCCTCGGGGCGCCCCGCGGAGGCCCGCGCGGCGACCGAGACGGCCCAACTGGGCCCCCAAATGGGGCCCGAGGGAAGGGCCCAAACCGAAAATCCGCCACGCCCGCCCCAGGAAGCCCCCTCCCAGAAGCCCAACAGAAACCCAAAGAAGACCCGCACCAGCCCCCAAACAGCCCCAGACCAACCTCAAGGGGGGCTCCCGAGAAGCCTCTCACGAGGTCCACGCGGACATATTCGCAGCCATGCTCATGCAGCGCCCATGCGCACGCTGCGCACCGCGTGGCCAAGTCTGAATCGCGCGACGGGGGGGTCCGCGCGAAAGAAATCGCCTCGCCGCGGCCATCGATCCACTCGGATCTCCAGGTCGCGCCATTCTGATATCTAGACTCCACCACGTTGCATGCACGCGCGGACTCCGTCAATGGCGATGAGCGCGCGCCCAGGCGCAGCCGCGCGCTTGCCAGACAGCAGCGGCCCATTGAGAAGCAGGCGCCATGCTGGCAACTGCCGCCGGATCGCCACGCAGCGCGCACTTCGCACTCAGACGTGCCCCTCTGCGGGGCGGCGACCAGCAACAGACCGGCGCGTCGCGAGCACGTCTGAGCTCGTTGTCCGACATGCCGACGACTGCGCGACGACGGGCAAGCGCGGGCATCGAACCCGCAGAGCGGCGCGGCACCGCAGCCAGGCCCGAGAAACGCCAGGCACGAGCGCGTCGAAAAATGAACGACGACACTCGGCCCCTTCGTTCGAGATGAGCTCCGCGAGCTGACAGGACTTGCCCAGGAGCGAGAACGACGCCGACGTTGCGCGACGCGTGGGCGACCAGCGCCGCTGGCAAACCTCCGCGCCGAAGCTGTCGCGCTAGGGGTTGGGCCAACAACGGCGAACTGGCGATCGAGATTGCCTCGGGCTCTGATATCTCCGCTCGGAGCTGTGCCTGAAACGAACTGCGGCAATCTGCTGCTGCTTCGAAACGGAAGACGCAGGGCACTTCAGCCGCTGGTCATCGCAGCATCATCCGCGCATGACGACAACCGAATGGACGGATCCTCACAGCGATCGGCGACAGCGTCGGTGGCGGCAATGGCAAATACTGCGGCAAACGCACCGTGACATACATCACCTGCCAGCGATCCGCACGACGAGAAAAACGCCACGAACCGCCGATCCGAGTCTGACCGCCCCGGGAGCACGCCAGAGATTGAACGCGGCCATGGCCATCGCTCCTGGGGCACCCCACTCCCGCGCCAATGGTTTCCAAAACCTCCAGGCCGAACAGTTCGCAATGCCCCCCGCCGCCCCAGCGCGCCAAAGCCGCTGCCTGCTCGTGGGAACCAGCTGCCACTGAATCCGCGGGCCCCGCCCGCGCGCGTGACTGAGCGCTCTCGCCGGCGCCAGCAGCCCATCCGCAGGCGCCGCGGGCGCCCCCGCGCGCGCGGAGCTCGCCAGCTGCAGGTTTGCACTGCGCCCGCCTGCTGGCTCGTCAATGGTGCGGAATACCATCAACGCGACTTGCCTC